AATTTTTTAAATTTTATTTATTTAATTAACAAATTAGAATATCAATCTAACATTTTAGATTGCAAAAAAAAATAATTAGGTTCAAATATTATTTTGACAAAAATTAAAAAAATTAAAGAAAATAAGGAAACTAATAAGTTAATATTATTATTATTACAAAAAATTCATTATTTTAGAAAGAGAAATTATTTGTAAAATTAAATTTTTATATTTCTTTTTTTTTAAAGTATCCATCAATAAAATTAAAATTTTAAATTTTTGTCATAAAATATCTTATTTAATTTATTAATTCATTTTATTATTTACAAATTTCATAAATAATATCTTTTTAGTAAATTTTTGATAACTACTTACACAGCTATTATCATTTCGAAATAAAATTAAAGTCTTCATCTATTCATATTCCTCCACTATATAAAATCATTTTTAATTTTTATTTTTTCACAAGTAACTAAAACTTTTTCTTGAATATACTTTAAAAACAATTATTTTTTTAAAATCACATCTAAAAAACTAATTTAAATTAAGTACTAGCTCTTCAAATTATTTCTGATTTAATTATTATTAGTTATTAAATATTTTATTTTAATTTCCATAAAATATTTTTAATTATTCATCATTAACTGGTAAATTTTTTAAATCTTAATTTTTTGTTTTTATATTTGTTTAATTTGAAAAAATTAAATTATTTTTTTTTTAAATTGAAGTTACAATAAATATTTATTATTAATTTTCTGAAATACAAATTTAAAAAAATACTTTTTTATTTTGACTCTATTTCTATTTCTCAAATTAATTAATAGATTTCTAAAAATAATATTTTAGATTAAAATTAGAGCAAATAGAAAAATTTTTATTTAATTTGAAGTAAAAAAATACAATTTTATTTAAAAATTAATATTTCTTTAATTTTATTTTCAATAAAAAAATTAATGATTTAAATTAAAAATATTGTAAGTAATTTTTAATTTGTGAAAATGCATTTAACATAATTTGTTTTTTATAATTTATTTTAATAAGCTTTTACAGTCTTATCTTAATTCTAATTAAAATAATATTTTGTTGAAATAAATAATAATTATTTATTTATTGAAACTTTTTCAAAAATTAAATTTAAAATAAAAGAAAATATTTATTAATTTTAAAATTTAATAGTTAATCTTAAAAAAGAGAAGATGAGTAAATTACAATTCTAGATTTTTTTTAAAAAATCAAAAGTAAATTAAATATCCAAGAATAAGAAGATTTTTGTTTTAAATAAAAATTCTTAAAATAGAGTAATTTAGTTTTTTAAAACTTAAATAATATTTACCTTAATTTTAAAGTAAGGCAGCCAGACATTTAAGAATTTTTAGTTCATATTACTTTCACTTTTTCCTTAAAAATCTATATGGATATAAATAATAATTTTTAATAATAACAAAAAAATTAAATCTAATAAATATTTTTAAATGTTTACTAAATTAATTAATAATTAAGTCAACATAATTTAATGAATTTATTTTTTTAAATTTTAAAAAAATTCAATGAAATAATACAATTAATAATTAGGAAGAAGTTAAATAAAAAACTTAAATAAGCTAAAAAATAAAAGAAAAATGCTTTTGATATTTAAATTCCATTAAAAATATTTATTAAAATTATGATAAACATTTAAATAAAAAAAGATAAATTTAAATAGTTTATTATTTTATTTGTTAAGTTTTAATTTAAATATTAAAAATAAAATTATTTGGTTGGAACCAATCATTACATTTCTTTTTAACATATTATTATTTTATTTTTATATTTTTAATAATACCAGTTTCTCAAATTCAAATTATCATTATTAAATCAATGATAAAAAAGAATAAAATATTAAAAATATTTATTAATTTTTTAAACAAAACTTTTAGCAATAAATAAAAAGGTGTAATTAAGTTATTGATGTTAAAGGATTTAAAATTTAATAAAAAATAATATTAATTTGGGTAATAATACTATTTTATCATATTAAATTAAAAATAAAAAATTAGTATGTAAAATTAATTTATGTTTAAGTGTTTTTAAAATTCTTTAATTAAAAGTTTGTTACACTTTCTAAAAATATTTATTTTTATTAGATTTAGAAAAAAATTCTTTTTAATAAATGTATTTTAATTTTATCTATATTTAAATATGATTATATAAAATAAGTATTTTATTAATATTTTTTATAAGTTTAAAATGAATTATAGTAAAAAAAATTCTCAATCAATAAAATAAAAATATTATTTATTTTCAATATCTAATTTAAATATTTATTATTTAAATTTTATAAATCTTTAAAGTCTTTATTTATTAATTTAACATGTAATTTAAAAGTAAATAATTAATTTAAAATATTTCAAAATAAATCATGAAAATATTTATTTTAGTTTTTTATATTAAAAAATTAATTTTTTAAGTTAATTTTTTTTATATTAAGATTTTAATTTTATTTAATATCTCTGTTTTTAAAATATAAAGAATAAAATTCATAAAATTTAAATAAAGCCAATTCATATATTTAATTTATTAAAATACTTTAAGTAAAATTGTTGAAAATTTATTTTTCATTTTTAATAAAGGATTTTGAGAAATCAAAGCCGTAGCACTTTACAAATTGATATTTTACACTTTACAAAAATTTGTGATATTTTTTTTGATAATTAAAATTTAATTTATTCCAATAATTTATTCATTTAAAAATATTATATATGTTAATTTAAGATAAATAATACAAATTATTATCAATAATTTATATGATAGTTTTTTTTAGATTAAAATTTGAAAAGATTTTTTATATTATATTTAAAGATTAATAATGCTTACATTACATATACATATATATTAATACTATCAATATTTTATTTATAAATAAAAAATTTATTTACTGATTATAAATATTAATCAATATTCTTCATTATCTAATTAATTTAAATCTTAAATTTAGTTAATGTTGTTTGCTATTTATAATTAATTATTCAATTATGATTAAAGTTAATTAAAAAATTATTAATTCAAATTAACTTAAATGAGCTAACCATTTTAATTAAATGGTGAATACATCTAAAATTCACTTTAAATTTTTTGCAATTATAGTTATTACTTCTGTTAATTAAAAGGTAAGCATTAATTATAATGTCTATCAATGTGAGTTTTTAAAAAAGGTTTTTAACAAGCTTAGCATTGAGAATATCTTTAATTATTTTAACAAAATTCCAGAGGATGATTACTTTTAGTGTGTTCTCTCATACTTTTATATTAACCTTAAAAATAACAATAATTACATTATAAAATTCCAGATTTTATTATTTAATTAGCATTTTAAATAATATTATTATTGTTATTAATATTTTAGTTAAAGTAATTATCCATAAATAAAAATAAGAAAAAAAACACACAAAAAATAATTATAAAATTATGAACAATTTTTTCATTATTTAAATAAATCATAATCTATTTTAATAAATAATATTTATATTTTATTTAAAAGATTTATAAAAGATTATTTTTATCTACTTTTTGTTTAACTTTTAAATAGAAAAAAATATTAATTATCTATATTAACTAATTTTATTTATTTGATATAGAAAAATAAATTAAAAAATACAATTTATCTACCTTAATTATTTATCTATTTGAATTTATCTAATAATAAAAGTGTTTTAATTATTTTAAAACTTTTGATTTTCTCAATTTTGAGAGGGGCTCTAAAATGGGTGGGGCTCTAATTGGTAAATTATGGTAATATTATTTTTAGAACTTAATTAAATTGATAATAAATTTTAAGATTTTATTCAAACATATTGTTGACAGATATTTGCTAAAAACAAAGTTAGATTTGATACTTTCTAAATTTTATAAATATTTCATGAATTATATAAAATAAAAAAAAATTTTTAAAAATATAACAATGATACGTTGACAACTGTGCTTCTAGATATACGAGGATTCAAGATAAATTTGTCTTATGTCAGCATACCACCCATCCATTTGTAGTTCTTTCCTTTGAAATGGTGGTTAAGGGAATCTCTTACATTATCCTTCCCAGTATTGAGTAGAAAGTAATTTCGAATTTAGATATCATCCCTCATGAAGTGGTGGGTATGTTTAGCCATCTAGAGGAACTTTTTGAGAATCTGATGCAGTAGTAGTAGTAGAGTAGTGCAGTACTCTACTAAGCCCTCTGTAAAATCTGTATCAATCTCATCTCTTATTAATTACTACTACGTTAACCTGTCAACTACTTCACTGTTTAACAGATATCCTAGCTTTATCTATCCACTCAGGTAGTACATATTCCTCTCTCATTGCTCTGAAAATAGTAACCTAGACTGGGATGGTAGAGTAATGATGACCTACTCTTTTGGCCCTAGCATTGTAGCATTATCAATCTGACTTAACTGGCAAGTATTAATGTAGAATTCTTCAATCTGATAGAAGTGACTGTAATCGTTGTCCTTATCACAGAGAAGGCCCGAGGAATGATTTTCCTTCAAGCTCATCAATTGGTATTTGAAGTCTATTGCCAGGTGAAAAAGGAACACCCTTCTTGTCCAGCTCCCTTGGGTCTAAATCAGTCGTCAATCTATGCATAGAAACACTTTGAATTACACTTACATATCTTTTACCCTCATACATAAGCGATACTATTATAATCAACTTATGTCTTTATGTTATAGTTAATTATCTAATGAATGTGTGTGTGTGTGTGTGTCTCTTTTAACTAGGAGATAAAGAGTTCTCCCTTTAATCTTCCTAATAGACTATGAAAGTATTTCCCTTTATTTGCCTACTATATTCCATTCTTCTTTTTTTATAAATTTAAACTATGTTATACCTTATGAAAGGAAATTAATAAGTTGTATTTAATTTAAGTTATTATCTGGAAAAAAATTCAAATGTTCTGTTTACTTGTAGCATGTGTACATATAGTAGATAAGAAATTAACATATTTATGGATTTGGATAGTTGAGAGACCAACATAAATAACTAATAGATGTGCATTTAGGAATAAGATATTCTTAAAGAATATAATTCATATAAATTATAATTTTAAATAAATATTTAACAAAGTCAAAGCCAGTGTCCCTCTATCAGCTATTGTATACTGACTTTGCTGTTTTCTTCATGTAAGAATAAAATTTAGGAACTAATTTTGTATTTAATTCTCCTGCAATTCAATTTATAGATTTGTATCGAGCAGTAAACCAAGTTGATTCGACTTTTTTATGCTAAAATGTTTTTATTTCTTAAATTATTTCAGAGAAATGTCATCTCCAGTTAGATAGTTTTAAAGAGTATTAGAAGAACCCTATAGCTTAACAATTTTTGATTTTCATTTAACTTCATAATTGATAAAATACTTTTCCCTCCTATTTCATCAATTCAAAAAATTAATTATTTAAATTAGAATTAATTGGTTATCGGAGTTAGTTACGCATTATGCCTTTAGTGTCAGTATTTCTTCTCTTTCTGATGATTGCGATAGAAAGAAGGAGGAAGTTTTTAGTATTTCCTTTCACATTAAAATTTCTCCTTTATATACAATGTAAGTCATATGTAATGTTTCTAATAATTAAGAAAAAGAAATTAAAAAAGAAAAATAACAAAAGGAGACACTTAATTAAGCAAACACGATAAGAACAATAAAACTTTTGTGTTTTTTAAAAAAGAGATAGCAATGGTTAAGGAAACAGATTTATTATAGCATGGGAAGAGTCATAGCAGTGTGTACCACAGTAAAGCTATTTCGAAGCATTAGCCATAGGTCACAATAATTCTCAGAGGTGAATTTCGTCAAATCAAGCAAATTCAAGTGGATACAAAAATGAATGGTGGTGATGGCTAAGGTGGGATCTAAATAAAAGTTGATTTATTAAATGACCCTAAAAATACTAGCACTGTCGTAAATGATATCATCCCACACCTATCTGAAGATGAGAATATTGAATTTAAGGATGAGGAGGAGGAGGAGTATGAGGAGGAAGAAGAATAAGAATAGGATTGTGTTTTAACTACATCATCAAGATCAGTAGTTTAAGATATTGCCAATACATCAAGTAACATGTAGTCCCAGATTAGCTAAGAGTAAGTGACTATTGATAAATTCATTTTGTAACATCCTGTGCTTATCGCAACTCGAGTTGTGAATCTCTACCCTAAAGAAATCTTCCTGAATACTTGGCAAAAATACATCAAGTAGGAAAGAATAGAAGAGAAGATGGGTATTGAGACGATTAACGTGTTGTCAACGTTTGCGTAAAAGAATCCTACACTGCTTAACAGTGAAGTGATTGAAAACCTAGAAAGGATTAATGCTTAGACTTAGCCTATCAATCTCTGTAACCAAGTAGAGAATTGGTGGGAATTGTTAGGATATGGTTTGAAAATATACAAAAAATCGAGCTCCTAGAAAAACGAGAGGAATTATGGGCGTAAGCCTATGATAAGTGATAATGTTCTTGGTTACATTTATGCGTACTTTTGCATTCATGACTTGTTGAAACCTCTAAATACTTCTCGTAGTTTGATCCCTGGGAATATTTTTAGGACTTTTGCATAATAATTAGGATTTCATATCCCTAATAATCATAAGTATATTAGTGACCTTAAAGCCCGTATGCTTTACCTATATGAAAAGCGCTTAATTCGTAAAGATAAGAAACTGTGTTTGTAGAAAAATTTAATGCCAGTTGAGAGAGGTGGAGGAGGAATCCTCATCAAGGATATTGGAATAGCCTCCCCCTCCTCTGCCTAGCCTGAACTGATTAAAAAGGAAGATGAAAATAGTAGTTGTGAAGATGAAGTTGAAAAGAACCTGGTTTTATAATTTAGATGAGAGAGAGAGATATATATACTCTAAAACCTCGTTAACTCGCAACCCGCAAATTGAAAAAATGTTCGATTTATCGAGGTTTTAACAAAAATTTTTTTAATTTCATATTTAGGGCTTAAAATCATAGATAATGAGAGGTGTAAGGTATATTTGTAATTTCAACTATTACCTAACAAAAATTGATAGAATATTTTAAAATGAGAATTTAAATATTAAGTATTTAATTTAATAGAAATTTAACCCTAATTTGCTTGCACTTCAAATATTTTTTAAAATAGTAAATTAGCTCCAATTTTTTATAATATAAATTAAAATAAATTTTATTATTAATTTGAAGTCTTTAAAAAAATCTAATTTTAACAATTTAATAATTAAAAAAATAATCAAATTATTAATTAATTAATTAGTTCTATCCAAATACTAAACTATAAATAGGAATAATTATATTTTATAATAAACGATTAATTAACATATGTGATAAAATAATTTTAATCAATCGTTACTTATTTCGTTGTTTTTTGTTACCAGCTAATCATAGCTGATCGACGTTCTGAAATAAATATAAATTTAAAAAAATTTAATTTGATAATTGAATTTGAATAAATTATCGAATTTTTTCAACTATTAAACTATTTTAAAATTTATAATTGAAAAAGATTACGATTTATTTATTTAATTTTTAAAGTAAATTTAAATGAATTATAATTTAATTTTTATTATTAATAAAAATATTTTAGCAAAAGAATTTTTATTCTTATGTTGATTATAAAATTGTATTTATATTTAATAAAATTATTTTTGAGTAATAATAGCATTTTAAATTTTAATAAAGAATTATTTACTTAATACTCTAAATCTTCATTAATTAAGAGCAGAATAAATTAAGGGATATAAAAAACTTTAAAAGTTTCTATAAAAAGGCATCAATAAAAAAATTTTTTTGTTAACTGGCCTTAATTAATGATAATGCAAGGTATTTAATTAAATTAGGTATGAAAAATTAAATATTGATCAACTAGCAATTAATTATCTTAAAATTAAATCTTATTTTTAACTATTATAGTAATTTTCAACAAAATTATTTACATTTGAAAATAAAGAAATTTAATCAATATTTTTGTTAATTATTAAAATGTTTTAAGTTTAATTTTATTAATAATGATTAATAATCTGAAAAAACAAATAACTGAAATATTTAGTAAAGAAACGAATTCAAAGGAAATATTATGTAAAACACTTAAAAAATAGATTGATAAAAATATATTATTTATAAAAAAATTGTTACTTTAAATATTAATGAATATTTTTACTGAATATTTAATATCAGCACCTCAAGGAGGAAGAAGAAGAAGAATGATTGATAAAGAAAATTTATCAGTTTTTAATCTCAGAGAATATGACATAGAAAAATAATAAATTAATACTCTGTTAAACTCTACTTATGAGCATAGTTTATTTAAGTGTCTTTTGATTTTAAAATAGTTGTTTTGTTTATTCAGTTTTCAATTTCTTAAAAATAAATCAAGTCTATTGTTGTTTTATAGTTTTCTTTATTTCCAAAAACAATCGACAAATAATAAGTTTTCTCAGGATTAATATTCTGTGTTTCGGATAATGAATTAATAGATGAATATTCTGGATAATCTAAAAATAAAATAGATTTTTTTGAAATATCTACTCTTAATTCTATAATTTAATCTTTACACACTTAATAGAAATACTCTCCTTTTTCTACTTTTCCTCCATATTTTTAATCATTACTACAAAAAATTTTGCATGCCTTCTGTATATATTTTATTTCTTACTTGTTATCATTTAAACCAATAAGTAGAGAATCACCTGCCTTATCATGGAATTAAAATCTAAATATGTAATTTTTTTATTTAGATAAACCGTAATTAAAATAAACATTTCCGTGTTAAGAAGAACTATTTTTTTTAAGAGTTATAAAATTATTTTCAACTACTTTAATTTGTTTAGAAGATTTATAAAGGCACTATTAAGCTTTTCCAAATAATAATTAAATTTATGATTAATTTTGCTAACTTTCTGATCGATTACTTAAACAATTTGATAATAAGAATTACTAATACTAGAATTATTCTTCTGGTTCATTATCATTTTCAAAATTTGTTAATTATTTTCCTTTTGCTTTCGGCTCTTAAGTGTTATTTATGATTTATTCTTTTTGTGTTTAAATATTCTATGAATTTATAGATTACATTATCTCTTAATTAAGCTGATTAATTTCATAGATAATTTTTAAAAAAAATTCAGTGGATATATTTGATTAATTACTATTCTGATGTGTAACTTTTTTAATTGCTTGAAGAAGGATTTCTGTATTCTAAGAACAGTTTGATATTTTATCTTGGATGAATTGATATAAAATTTTTTCATTGTTCTCTAAACTTTTATTATTCTATTTAAAAAATGATTTTAACTCATCCTTTCCTGATATTTAGTTATAAATTTTAATAAGATTCTCAATTGATTTCTACTTTTCATTTACTTCTTTCAAAATAATTTTTTTCTATTATTCTAACTATTCAATGATTTACTGTATAATTTTATTGAATTCTTATTCTATTCTATTTATTATGCCATTGTTATCATCTAAAATTTTTTAGATCTTCTATAATAAATTATAATCACTCAATGGAGGCCAATTTTAAAAAATAAAATCATCTCTACATTTTTTAATTGTTTAGATAGATATATAATCTTTTGTATTCCCTGTTTCCAATACACATTCTTCACAATTTAGCAATTATTAAGTGTTTAAGGAAATTTGAATTAAATTAACTAAATGGTGTTTGTGCTTTTGACAAAAAACTTAGTATGAGTCATCAATTATATCCATATTTTATTCCTAATCTAGATTAATAATCAAAAATAGCTTAATTTCTTTCTTGTTTTCTAAAATGTAAAAAGTAGACTATATTTTATTCAATTAATTAATTAATCAATAATTAACTCTAATAAATACTAACTAAAGAGGATCATAGAGATTAAAAAAATTAATTCATATATCATTATTGAAAATTAATTATCTATATTTGCCAATTATTAATTAATTAAAATACATAAAAAACTCAAGAAAAATAATTTTAAGTTTATTAAAATATTAAAATATTGAAATTAGAAAATATAAAATGAAAAATAAATCATATGTCTGTAAATAAAAAATATTATTTTTATTAATATCTAAGATTTAATAATTATTAGTCTTAAGTAATTTATAGAAAACTCTCTAATTATAAAAATAATATTTATTATTTTAATTTGAAAAAGGTCTATTATAATCAAAAGATAAAGTTTAAAAAATAAATTATTTATAATTATTATAAATTTAAGGAAGGATCAATCTTTTATAAAATTATATTAATATAGTATGTGAACCTGAATTCAAAAATTAATTATCTATTTGGAAGATAATTTTTTCAAATTTATTTTACCCTTTGTAAGTCTGCAAAAAAATAATATTTATCAGTAAAAAATATTAATAAGCACAAAGTTTGTTATATATTTTTCTTTATTATAAAAAGAATTGAATTTATTTACTTATTTTTTTAATTGATTTACTTTATTAATTAATATTTAAAAATATATTTTTTATTTTATAAAATTATTTATTTTAAAATTAAAAATAGTAGATTTAATAATCATTTTAGTTAAGTTTATTATTTATAAATTTTATTTAATGATTACATTAAAATACATAAAACAAGCAAAAGAAAGATATTATATAAATTTTTTCTAATAAAATTAATTATTGAATTCTTTTCAATTTATATAAATTTAAACATCGTCAATACCCCAAGATGCATCACAAGAGTTTTTTGCCAAGTTAGATCCAACTCCTAATATGAAAGAGGTTCCATTTGCTTAGAAGGTAAAGCTTACTGGATAAGCGAAAGTATCTGGAGTTTCTTTACCACAAGCACTAATTCCTTGATTTTTACACTGCTGGATTAAAAGTTTATTGCACCAAGCATAGCTTTACTACCACATAGTTACACCATTAATTTATGCAAATGCTAATTCTCCAGTCCAGTCATCAAAAAAATGAATATTAAACTTGACGTTGACCTATTTATGATAATAAATTAATAGTTAATTATCTTTAACAATATTAGTTTATTTTGCAAAAAAAATTTAAACACAATTATTTCTTTCTATTATATTCATTTTTTCAATTTAATTACTATGTTTAAATATAATATTTTGTTTGTGTGCGTTGAAATACATATATTCTGTTCTAAACATATTAAAATATTTTTTTTACATTTAGCATTTCTTATCATATTATAATTTATATAAACTAATCTATTATTTATTGCTTGAAAACCAAGTTATTAGTTTAATTTCATTTTAATCCCATATTTTTTTGAACTTTTTAGATTTTATAAAAATGGATGTAAAGGATTACTTACATAAGAGTTTGGTGGGAGGCCTGTATATTCTTTTGTTACAATTATTCCTCCAAAATTACAATGTCCTCCAAGGAATATATTTTCGCTTGATCCGCATGAAGAAATAGCTTATTCTGACCATCCTTTTTTATCATACTAGAAATCATCAAATGCAAATAATTTCCACTGTTTTTAAGATTTGTAAAAAATGCTATTAGACATTGATGCAATATGAAGATCGCCTTCTACTTTTAAATCATAATTGCTATTAAGTGTTCCAACTACATCAATTTTATTTATATCTATTTCATTTTGGTTTTCTATTTATGTATATGAAAGCACTGTCTCATTATCCTTAGAAACTTAAAACGCATTATCACCTGATGATTCTAATACAACACTGTTACCATTGCGATTTTAAAGCTCTATCTAAACTGCCTATCCTTCCTCATTTGCTAAAAGTATTTGACTTGCATTGGTTATATTTATGAAATACAATCCTAACAAAAGCACTATTTTTTTGTACTCCTTTTTATAATTACTTTTTATCATTTTGATTGAATATTTTAGTTAAATTTTTTGTAAAAAAGTTAAAAACGAATATATGCTACTACCAACCTAAATATCTAATTTGATTGAATCTGTTTGTATTAATTCTTGATATACAAACTATCTATCTACTTTTTACTTAGAATTTATTGTTTTTTAGTACCAACATAATATTACAAGCTGATAATGATGAAAACTAAATTTCAATATTAACTTTCAGCCATCATCAAAGCTATTTTAAATTACTAATTTATAAAAATGGTACTATTTAAGAATGAAATTAAAAAAATGTATTTTAAATAGATATTTGACTTACTTCATTAAAATTTTAAAGTAAAACTAAAGTAGTTTAAATTATATAAATACTACAATTCTTTAAAAAAGCCTTTTATATTCTTACCACTTGGATTCAAACTCAGGTCAAGTCAAAGCATTTAGAGTCCCTAACCACTATACTATGGAACCTAAAAATTATTAAAATTCGCTAATATAAGCTGCTAATTTTTAAATTACCTCAAAATAAATTAATTTATTATTAAATCAATAAATTGTTTACTTTTTTTAAATTATTCTGATAAAAATGGTTAAAATAATAATTTTTTTTTTTAAAATTAACAAATATATTTATTTATTTATTTACTTTTTTAATTGCATAGTTACTATCGTTCATCTTTAATTAATTATTTCTAAAATGTTAAAATTTTGATTTCTTTCTAATCTAATTAACTAAAATAAATTTAATTTTATTTAAAAATAAAAATAAAAATTTAGGTCCCACTGGGATTCGAACCCAGGTCAAGGGATTTAAAGTCCCCAGTACTAACCACTATACTATGGAACCGTAATACATAAATAAATAATTTAAAGATTCGCTAATATTAGTCTAATTAAATATTAATATCAAGCAAAATAATATGTTATGAATTCGAAGATGAGTTAATTAACTAAATTCTACTATTATTATACTTACTATATTCATAATAACTAAATAAAAAAAATAACCTATATTTAATTTAATAGAATGTAAGATTTAATCCAAGAATACAATAGTGAATAGTATATTAAAAAGGATTATTTTTTAAAGGTACAAATAAATATTTAAATTCGTTCAAAGGTGATATGAAGCATATATTTTTTATGTTATAAGAAAATAAATTACAAAATTTATTTATATAAAATTTTAATTAATATTACAAAAAGACATTAAGAAAATAACAATTAATTGTTACTTAAATTACATATTTTCTTAGGAGAATATCAATATCCCAATTTCTAAAGTTAATCAAAGGAAAGAAATACATTAATTGATTTATTATTATATTCAATCTAAAAGTGTTCACAGGTTTTTTTGCTTCTTACTCTTTTCAGGAAAAAATAAAGATTAAAAAATATTTGCAATTAATTATTGATTATTATCTCCATATTTCATATTTGAATTATTTTTAAAATATATAACAATTGAAAAAGTAAATTATATTAAATTTTATTGCATCATTTTTAAGATTAAGGTTAATGACAAAAAAAAAATTGACACTTCTTTCAATACACATTAATATTTACTACTTACAATTTAAAAAAAAACACAAAAAATTCTTAATAATTTGATGTCAAATCATCATTTCAGTTTTTTAATTAATTTATTTAATTTTTTTGAAAAAAACTAGATTATCATTTTAGAAGGTATAAATGCTTTTTAATTCCCTAATAACTTGCTATGATGTATTTGGAATTATTTCAAACTATAATAAAATAGAAGCAAGCAAACATTTCCCTTCAATTATTGCAAGATGTTAGCCAATGCAACTTCTTGGCCCTTGTGAGAAAGGAGAAAAGTTTGATTGTTGCTTTAGACTATTTTAAAAATAATTAATAAATTATAAAAAATATGAAAAAAATATTATACTTATTTGAGTCCAACCATCTTTCAGGTTTGAAATCGTCTGGATTTTCAAAAACTGAAGGATTAGTGTGATTGTAGAAATAGTGTGCAGTCACCAAATCTCCTTTTTTAATATCGAATTCTCCAATTTTAATATTGTGGTCTGCTTACTTTATTTACGATGATATAGATGGCCCCATTATTCTTAAAGATTCTTTCAAAATACAGTGAATAAAATTTAAGTTTTAGATATCTTCAAATTCTAATTAGCTAAATTCAGTTTTCATAATCTCTTTTTTTGAAGAGAGAACTTTAATAATTTCTGCTCTAGCTTGCTATTAAATTTCTGGAAAACGTGAGAGATAATATAAAGCAACTCCTACCATATTACCAGAGGTATCAGTACCTGCAAAATATATTGCAGCAAAATTTGAGATGATTTCATCATAAGTTATACCACTATTTTTATCTTAAATCATCTCAATTAAATATTAGTCTAAGAAATTTTTCTTTGCTTAAGATGGGTCTTTTATAAGCTCCTCATTTCTTTTAGTAACAACATCTATTTATACCTGCTTTAAAGCTTATAGGCGAATCAATATCTCTTTCTCTCCCTTTGTAGGGAAATAATTAACACTATTTCTTTTAAGTAAAATCCATTTAATTAGAGCTAATTTATCTGTTTTTAATAGAGTAAACGAGTCGATAATTATTTAAACAATTTCCTCAGAGATAGGAATTTAGGTTCCATCTTTCTTGGTTATCTTCATTTAATTTTCACTAGCTGAGCCAAAAAAAATCTTATAAGATATTTCTGAAGTAACTTCCTAGCTAATGCCTACAACTTTTACTTCTATCTAATCATTCTATAGCAACTTTGTGTCTAATTTTTTTACTATTTTTTCACATGATTATTTTATTAATGGAAGGTAGTTTTTTATTTCTTCAAAATGGAATGACTTTGATAAGAATTATCTTTATCTTCTCCATTCTTTTTCAGGTGCAAATGCTATAGAATGTCCAAATAAAAAGGTAATTGCAATCGGTCCATCTGCTTTGCTAAAAGAATGAATGTTTTAAAATAGTTATCTTTAGTGTTCAGGTTCTACAAAACTTAATCCTACTTTAGTTCCGTAATTAAAGGCAAAGGCTTTTAAATTTTCATGATGCATAGAACGAATAAATGCTAAGCTATCATTTTTTTTAATCAGATCCTGTTAATAAAAATTAAATATTCCTTTGCCAATACTGAAGTAGACTTTAATTTTATCACCATATTTGCGCCTCATTTCAGAAAAACGAATTATAGGGTATATGACTAAAATATAGACTCCAATAGCCAATATTGTAGCTATAATCCCTAAGATTATATAAAAAAGAATTATCATCAAAATTTTATGATATATAATGAATTTTATTAAAATTTAAATTATTATAAGAATTGGCTTAAAATTTATCAACATAAACTGTTTATTGATAGTTGTTTTTTTGAATTGGTTAGTTAATCAAACAAACTCCCATCATAAAATCAGGAAAACAAGTTAACATAAGTAAATATTAATTAAATCTGATAAATAGAACTGATGAATTTAATTTTAAGAAAAGTTTTTCTGTCAAATATATATAATAGTAAAATAAATATATAAAATCTACAAATAATTTATTTTCATACTTTAATACTTAAATTACCTATTAAATACTTTTTTTGAATTGATTTATTTTAGAGAAATTTTATTTTATTTACAGAATTTTAAACATCCAATTAAGACGTGAATAAAAAGGAAAGATTTTAGCTTTAATAGATAGATAATAATTAGTTTTTAGATAACTCAAGAACTTATATAAATTAAACATACCTTCTTCTTAAAATTATTTATTCTTAATTATGATACAAAAAATATATTAAAAAGATAAATTTATTGGTTTTGATTACTTCTGATAATTGTTGAATACTTATTTAACACTTAAACTTTAACTAAAAATAATTATCATTATTTCATAATTTTATTTCTTTGCCTATTATATTAAATTAACATACCCTCTCCTTTTATCTTGATAAGAATTTATTTATATGAGATCTCAAAATAGTCAAATTTATTGGGGATATCATAATTAAAGATGAGTTTTTATATATTATTTTAGAGTATATTTAAATATGCAATTATAGATAGATAATTAACTTTTATAATTTGTTTAAGACTTTTATTAACTTTAGTAATTAATATATTCTCCCTAATTTTTTGATCGTAGAACTATATTTTTTTAAGTAGTGTAAGCTAAGCTCAAATATTTTTAAAAAACTAATATTTCATACATTTAATAAAAGCAACAGATATTTAATTTATTTTAAAAAATATGTAAAACTAAGGTCCAACTGAAATTAGAACCAATGTAAGGATATTAAAGTGACCATACACCAAAACTAACCACTAAATTGAGGAATCTGAGTAAGATAATTAAAAATTCTAAAATTCAATAATATTAATATTAATAAGCTATTATGGAATATATGCTTCAATATTTCAAATAAACAATAAAAATATTTTGAAATAGTGGTAGTTATTTATTTATTAACATTGGTTTTAACTTAAAATATAGATCCCTTTTAGGAAATATTGGGTAAATTTTAAAAATAAAACGTTTTTATTTATATTTCATTATATTCACCTTTAAATATTGGCCTTTTAGGAAAATAAAGACTTTGGAAAATAACTCAGTTTGGCTAATCAATAATCAATTAAAAGTACGTTTAGTAAATGATATTTTAACTTAACCTTGGCAAATAGTATCGATAAATATCACAATAGAAAATAAATAGACAGATATATATAGTATAGTACATAATAATTTATTTGGTTTTTAATCTAAATGATTTTTTTACCTAATTATGTTATATTTTTTGATTGTTTAGATTCTAAGGTAACCAAAAGTGTTGATTTTTATTTTATTGACTAAGAGATTTTATTATTCTAAATATTTAAAAATATTTTAGATAACCTAAAATGAAATTCTTATAAAATTTAGAAATAATAGTACAAACAATAATAAGCGGCATGCAATAAATGTAATAAATTTTATTTTCCTAGTATATTAGTATATTACTGATTTAATAAATTCATTATTAATTAAATTTTCTTTCTCTAATCAATAAGTGGTCAAAATCAAATTATGTAAACTAATTATTTAATTTTTCTTCTTCTTTATATTATCAATTTATAGCTAAAAATCATAATAATCATTTGTTTTGAGGCCTTAAAACATAAATATATTTTTAAACTATATGCAAATTATTATTATATAGTGTAAATTAAGTTCTTTGTAAAGCAGCAACAGAAAATCATTCATTATTTTAATTTTTTAAAATAAATAAGATTATCGTTTTAGAATCCATACATCATTTTCATATCCATAATTACTTCTGTATTAGGGTTTGGAAGAATTTCAAATTATAATAAAATAGAAGCAAGAATAGACTTTCCTTCTATCATAGCAAGATGCTAGCCAATACAATTTCTAGGACCTTGTGAGAAAGGAGTAAAGCTAAATGTTTCGGAATAACTATTATAAAATTTAGATTTAAATAAAATACTTATAAAAAGACAAATTATTTTACTTATTTGCAGTCATCCACCTTTAAGGATTAAATAATTCAGGATTTGGGAATATATCAGGATTTGATAGGTTATATGCAAAATTTGTAGTTACTAAATCACCTTACTTAATGTCAAACTCCCCAATTTTCATATTATGATTTGCAATTCTAGATGTTATTTATATGACAGGCGGTATTAGCCTCAAAGATTCTTTCAAAATGCAATTTAAAAAGTTAAAATGAGTGATATCTTCAAATCTTAGTTAACTGGCTAGCTAATCATGCTTTTTAAAATCTTATTTAGAAGAAACAACTTAAACTACCTCTTCTCTAGCTTTCTGTTAAATCTCAGGATTAATTGAGAGATAGTATAACGCAGATCCTACCATATTACTCGTAGTGTCTGTGCCTGCCAAAAAAATACCTGTAAAATTGTCAACTATTTCATCATATGTTATCCCACTGTACTAGTTTTAAACCATTTCTGTTAAATAATAATCTAAGAAATTATTTTTGGCTTTTGATGGATCTTGGCTTAGTTCTTCCTTTCTTTTAGATACAATTTTTATGAATCCTTATCTAAGATTTTTCAAGCGATCCATTAAATCCTATTCCCCCTTTGTGCTGAAATAATCTGTGCTTTTTCTTTTAAGTAAAATCCATTTTAGTAGAGCTATTTTATCAGTTTATAGTAGCTAGAATGAATGTCTTATCAGTAAAGCAAGCTCATCAGAAAATGCAATTTATGTTCCATCCTTCCTCGTGATCATTAAGCTTTCAGTTGTTAAACCAAAGAACATCTTAAAAGTTGCTTCTGAAGTAATTTTTTAGATGATATAGACTGCCTTTATTTCAATTTGTTCCTTCTAATTTAGCTGTTCATTAACTCCTTGAAGTACTTGTTTAGTTGTTTCTTAGATAGTAGGATAATAATTTTTGATTTCATCAAAATGGAAAAACTTTCCTAAGAACAGTCTTTGTCTTTTCCATTCTTTATCTGCTGCATAAATCATAGAATTTCCCAATAAATAAGTCATAGCAGCAATAGCATCAATTCTACGAAAAGATTGATAACTTTAATGAACTTACTTTTATAGTTCTGGGTCTAGAAAGCTTAATCCTACTTTAGTTCCTAAATTAAAAGCTATTGCTTATAAACCCTTTTGGTGCATGTTTCGAATAAATGCAATACTATCTTTATTTTGAATTAAGCTCTAATTGTAGAACTTAAGGATTCCTGTTCCTATGCTAAAGAAGACCTTGACTTTATGACCATATTTATACTTCATCACTAAAAATCTCATTGTAGGATAAATCACAAAAATGTAAAATCCTATAGCAATTATTGTTGCAAAAATTATCAAGCTAGAGTAAATAAGGACAATCATAAAATGAAAAATATTTGATATTATAATTTTTATATCAATCTTAATAATTATAAAAAATTTTTAGTGTACTTATTTATTTGATAGTGAATGACCAACCCTTACAGAGTATTTTATTGAGCCCTAATTATTAATTCACAAAGAAGCATGAATTAATTAATTTAGAAAAAAACTAAAACCAGATTTTATCAGCCTTTTCATGCAAAAAGTAATTTTAAAATAATTCTATTAAATAGATGTCTTAGTTCTTAAATATCTAAAACAACAATGTAGTTTTATTATTATTTCTACTATAAAACAATTTCTATCATGCAACTAACAAAAATTGTTTGTTCTATAAAAATGTTTTGTATCTTTCTTCTTTTTTTAGTAGCTAAATTAATCAAATTTTTGGTATCTTTTTTATATTCTTAAAAGAAGAATTTATTTTGATAGTATTAAATTATATCTTTCAATTTTAAGTAAATGCTTATTTATTTTCCACAAAAAAAATTATTGGTAAATCTTAAGCTCATAATTATTTTGCCTTAGCGATGTGAAATATTTACCAGATAAAGATATTTAAGTTTAAGATTTACAAAAATTATACTATAATATTAATAATTTAAATCTAAAGTTAAAAAAATGTATTTATTTAATTAAGTTAGTTTATATTTTTTTAGGTATTTCTAAAAACAATTTTTATTGTTTTTATGTAAAGCTAAGCACATAAATATTACGAGTAAGATGAGAAAAAAATAAATAGTATATTCCTTCTTAATTCTTTAAATAATTTATCTGTAAGGAATTTAGAAGATTCTTTAAATTTATCTCTATTTTCCTCAATAAAAATCATATTTTATTTTAGTAATTTTGCTATGTAAGGTAAAAAAAATTTAATAAAAATCAAGTAAAGTAAAGAATTAATTAATTAATTATATCATCTAAAATTTCAGATTTTAACTTTTAAATTGATTACTTTTCTAATGTAAATACAGCATTTTAATTTTATTTTAGAATTATTTATTTTAATTGAAAGATAAATATAATAAGATAGAAAACTTATTGTTTTTGTGAACCAAAAATATAATAATCAATATATTTTGTTATTATTTATCATTTAAATTAAAAACCAAAAAATTTCTTTTTATGAATACAGATCTATTGTTCTATCCATTACTACAGGTAGAGGTTCATTTGATAGTTGTAATTGAGAAGATTATTCTTTGATTTGATTGAAGTTATCCATTAACTTTCTTCTTTAATTCAATTGGGTTTACCTATAGAGTTCATCAAACCTTGGAATGTTGAATCTAAGTATCAATAAACTGCATGATTGTTTATCATACGAATTTAAATAGAATATTTTTTTTTTAATTTTATGATATTTTTAAAAAAATGAATATAAATACCTTTAATAAAAATAATTAATTTCAACATAAATACCATTCTCATGTACTGTACATATAGAAGCAATTGTATATATTTTTTAAAGTATATTATTAAATAAAAGTTTAATTTATTTTAATTGTTTTATTTTATACACAATAATGAACATAAATCTTGAAAAATATAGATTATTTAATATTAGTAAAACAATATCAAAAATTGGATAAATAATTTATTTTTACTGATTGCTAAACTTATCTTACTAATTAAGACTTTTCATTGTTAAATTTAATCTTTTTCTTAATTATTTTTATCTTATAAAAAATTTATATCACAATTTTATTCATCTAGTTCATTAATATTCATTGTAATCTTAGCTTGAATCTCCAAGATCAATATCTCCTTCTTCTTATTCTATAAGGTCATTATCAATATTTTATTCTTCTAATTCATTTTCTGCTTCTTCACTTAATTGTTATTCATTTTAATCTTCTTAGTCATCATCTCCATCTTCTTTTTAATCGATTTCAAAATAAAAATCCACTAAATTACACATTTTTAGAAATTTTTATTTGATCTTGAAACTTTTATCTTATTTAAAAGGATTTTAGCTTTTTTATTAAAATTTAAAATAAATTAATAAAAAGGCTAAAAAGTTGATTTACGATGCTATCAATCTCATAGATTATATTTTTTTGCATTAGGAAATATGAGAAACTAAATTTTGTATGCCTTCTCTACCAATATAGTTAAAGCTTTTTATATTATAAAAATGAATGAATATAAAAATATATTAATGAATTGCTACTAAAGCACAAGTTCCAAATTTTATAGATTCAAACATTATTTTAAATTAAGTCCTAAGATAGATGCACCTTTTGAACGTATATCATTCGATCTATTTTTTATATTTTAATTTAATTACGAATAATAAATTAAAAATAATAAAAATTAATAACTCAAGATTCAACACCAAATTTGAAAGACAATTACAATTTGCTATGCATTAACTCAATTCAGAAATTCCTTTAAAACCTAAGTTATTCTCCCTAAATTTAAAATAGTAGTAAAAAAAATAATAATATAAAAGTTAGTATCAGTTTTACAAAATTATACAAATACATAAATATTTAAAATAAAAATCAATAAAATTTTCTTTACAAAAGATCAAGTTCAAGAGTTTTGAGATTTTTAAAATTTAGTATACAAGAGCCAATACTAGAAGCACCTTAGGCCTATATTTTATTATATCTTTAAAAATTAAATCAATAGTTTTTCTCTTTAAAAAGGTTTTTTATTTAGTTATTTTTTTAAAATAAAAAATTTATGTGAATAATTTGAATTTTATAAAAATTAAATAAATTTAAAGAAAATAATTTCCTCCATATTTATAAAATAAAAATATTGTTTTTAATATCTACTGAAAAACAATAAATTTTTACTATAGGTAGAGCTTCATATTTTAAAGATTAATACAACTTTATAATCCTTAAAGAAAACCTGATATACCTTCAGAGCCTATATTGTTTTCACTAATTAGTTTTTAAAAATATTTAAATTTAATAAAATCTTAAAAAACAATATTTAGAATTTAATTACTATAGATAAATTTCAAAGCACTATAAATTTTTTAAACGAGCTATACCTTCACCTAATTTTAATGCTCCTTTTGGTTCAATGTAGTTTGATCTATTTATTTGTTAAAAAATATCATAATATAATTTTAAAGCAAAATAAATAATGTCAAATATTGCTGGATTCTTTACATTAAATTTAGAACCAATTTAGAAATTTAGCTGTATTTTGCTAGATTTTAACCTAATTAAAATGCTTGTTCATTCCCTATTTAATTATTTCTTTTAATTTTATATTAATTATTGAATATAATTCAAAGTAGGGCAAACTAATAAAAATAAATAATTTGAATATTGAATGCAATAATTTAAATAAATAAATAAAGAAACAAATAGTATTTATTTATTTTTACTAAAAATCGAGATCGAGTTAAGTTATGTTGTATTCATTAGAGCAAAGAAACTTTCAGTTAAATAATAAAAAAGGAGATAAACTTTTATTTCAAGGTAATTACTTACTTTTTAAAAATTCTTTTAATGAGATTTATCTAAAATCATTTTTTTATAACGTTTATTTTTTTTCTCTCTTTTTCTTTTATCAATCAAATTAAATTAAAGACAAGTTATTTATTTTTATCATAAAAACCACAGGTTATGATATTAATATGATATATAGAAAAAAGTGCCTTCTGTCTCCGGAAAAAAATAAAAAAATATTTTATTTTTCCAGCCCGGCCCCAAAAATTTTAAATTAAAAAAACTGAAATAAAGGTTGATTTATTAGCATATAAAAAGTTTAAGGTATATAAATAAGTTAATGGTTAAAGTATAATAGAATCATAATATTCATTTAAACATTTCTTTCAGAAATAAAATTTTGTTGATAATATTACTTATATATAAATATATGGATTGCTTGCTGATTATCTAGTTAATTAATTAATTAAAATAAGTTTTTTCTAAGTATTATTAAATTTTATATCACAGGTACAACTTATAATGATTATATCATTATGCTCATTAACTTACTCTATTTTATTAATCAAAATCCGCTTTTGTTGAACTTGCTTATAAACTTATTATTTTTTTTATTACCACCCTTTTTATTATTGCTACTGTTGAATTTTTTTTATGCATTGATACCAGATTTAAACTTAGGATCTTTATTGATTCTATTTCTTATTTTATCTGCAAACTGGTTAAAATTATCTTCGATTTGTTTTTTTTCTTCTTCTGTAACCTCTCTTTTTTTCTTCTTCTACTATTATTCACCTTCTTCAGAATCTGATTCTTCAGAGTCAGTTTGTTCTCTGAGACCTTACTCTATTAACATATCGAATGTACTTTTTTATCCAGTAGATCTTTTTTTGTAAATTTTTTCTCCATTTTCATTATCTTCTTCTCCCTCTTCATCTTAGTTGTTGTTTCTTTTTGCTTCATTGCCAAAATTATATTTTCTCTTTTTGAGACTTGTTTTAAACTAATCTTCATAAGATTGAGGTAAATCAGGCACATTTATTTGTTCAACTTCTTTTGGTTTAGAAGAAGGTCCTTTTTCCTTATCAAATGCTAAATAAATATCTCTTTCTTCTTCTTCCTTGTTAGTTTGTCCTTCGTTTTCACCTTCAAATGGGTTTTTACTCTAAATGTAGGCCAGGTCATTTCTTTTTTTCATAATTTCTTCTTCTTGCAATTTAGCGAGTTCATAAGCTTCTCTCATAAAAGGGTATTTTTCGCAATAAAAATCTACAGGATCTGCATAGAAGAAAGAAGAATTAATTTTATCTATTTTTGATTATATTTCAGCAGAGGTTGAAGATGATAGTATGTGGTCTTCTAAAATATTCAAATTGCCTTAATACACCCCAATTTATACATCAATTACTTCAAATTTGAAGGAAACCTCTTCATCTTCAAGCTCCTACTCCATTTGGTGACTCTGAGTGTTAATTATTTAGTATCCTGATATGTTATTATTATGGTTACGAGAGGCATAAATCAGATCTTCAGTTTCCATTTCACTTTAATTTTTGGTGGCACTCTCTGATTCTCCAGATTTAGACTTTTGTTCAGATTCAATTTCTTCCTTAATAATAGAAAGAATTTCGTTTGCATGATATTGGCATACGTAACTAAGCTTAAGATTTGAAGATGCAAACTCTTTCTGAGTTTAGGGTAGTCTATTTACAATATTGAAAAGAATATCATTAGCTAAAACAAAGGTAGGATTTTCATCATATTTAGCAGCCATTTTATATCTCCATTCGAGGAGTCTTTTTAAAATGCGGAACTTTCTGTCAGATAAGATGATACGTTAATTTTGTAAAATTGAGTGATATTTTTCATCATCTAAAATTGGCTTGACATACTTTTTGAGGCAAATAGCTCTAGACTTATTCAGAACACTCTCAATAAAGTGAGAAGCATTTTATCCTTACTAAAGTGCTTTGCTTACAAGTTGAATTCTTAAATTGTCATAAATTGATAACAAATAGTGTGTATCTGATCTAGCATAACTTATCATTTCTCTTGGGAGAGGACGGATTCTCCAATCAGCTAATTGGTACTTTTTATCTGTGGGTACTTTTGAAATAGATTATAAAAGATAAGCTAATGCATAGCTGGGCATAGATAAAGTTCTGGCTGCTTATCCGGTATCGAATAAATTAACAATATAAATTCCAAAATCTCTTTGTAACCATTGAATATCCATATCTGCACCATGAAGAACTTTAACAATATTTTTATCTGTAGTAACTGCATTAAGCTTATGTAGAGATTTCCATACACTGAAGACATCCACAATGTAGTCTTTAGTTCTGCTAGAAATCTGCATCAAGCAAGTAATACCGTTGAATGAACGATATGAATGGTGTTCTAAATCAATAGCTACTTCGCTACATTACTTCAGAGACTCTATCATTTCGTCTAAAATATCTTCTTTATCTACAAACACTAACTCCTCTTTAAGACTAATAGGCTCCTAAACTATTATATTATCTGTCTGTAATTGTTACTCTGAGAAATTGAAATTCTCAATTTCATAAGCATAAGGGTGGGGAAATTCATATTATAAAGGGTCTTAAATGGTTTTAAAAAAGCTTTCAGCTCCCTCTCTCTATACTTAAACTATGACATCATCTAATGGAACATCTGCATTTAGCTTTTCTTTGATGACAGGAATGAAAGGATGTTCTATTGAATTATCAATGCAATCTTTAAAATGGTTTTAAGGTTTTTCTTTTGTTGCTATTGTGATTATGTCTTCGGATTCCTCCCCACTAATAGGCTTGAAGCCCTTGTCAGAGGATATAGTCTTAGAAGGATCGAAAAGAGAAGACTCAGTGACATTATTAATTTTTTTAATTTTGTCCAATGAAGTGTCGATATTCTCAAAAAGTAGATCATTCATGTCTATGATATGGCTAAAATGGTTTAAGTCAATGCTAGAAGCTTGCTCAAATTATATAAATGATGCTATTTTCTTTAACTGGTGGAGAATTTTAACATTGATAGCCTTTTGCTTTTATTTTAGTTGCTCATTGTTCATGTAAAACTTCATTTCATCATTTTATGGAAGAGAGTTACTCAAACGAACAAGACTTGCATCTTTCTACAAAACCTACTTCATGAAATCCTTTTAGTTAAGAATTTCATCTAAATCCTTAATTTTATTATTGCTAGCCATTTTACTGAATACCTATTTAAGTAAATAAAATTGAACCTTCTAGTCTGAGTAAAAATATAAAAGTTCTTGTTTGTTTTATGCTTATTTTAATATATTATTTAGAATGAATGAATGATTGATTGATTGATATATTGATCTATGAAAAGACGGCCTGTTTTCTACTTTTGCTTTGAAAATAAACAAGACTAACTAACTAATTAAGTATGTATTAATAACAAATAAATAAACAAACAAACAAACTAGCTAATTACTTATTTACCTACCTACTTATCTATTTATTTATTAATTAATTATAATGATACTTGTTTTGGTGCTTTCTTTGATTTAATTAATATCCTTTGCTATTAATTAATAAAAAACAAATTAAAAATCTTCTAAAATTTAATTAAAAATAAGAATATCTATCAATCTATCTTCTATCTTTATATTTGATTTCTATATTCATTTATTAGATAAAAAATTAATTTATCTATCTAAAGTTGACTACCTATATAAAATAAATGAAAAAATGCTTAATCTTCATCAAATCTAATAAATACATTAAATGTTCTTCCTTCATTTCTATTTATTTAAAAAGATTAACATTCAGTTTTAAAAATAAGTAAATAAATACATATAGGTAGGAAGGTTTATTACTTTCTCCTATCTAATATTCTTATTTTTTTAAGCCTTTTTTTTCGCTGTAATATTTAGTCTAAACAAATTCATTTATTTTTGATTCGATTAATTTGCTCTTCATTCTACTTTGAAGATAAATTCCTACTTATTCAAATTTTTATACAAATCTTAAATTAATTAATTAATCAATATTCTATTTTGCTCACTTCATCAAATAAAAAAACAAGTATTTTTACTTGAATGTGTATGAATAAATGATCAATTAATTTACAAATAAAAAAAATAAATAAATCATTTAATCAATCATTTATTTATAAATTAAGTTATTAAATTATAAAATAGTAAAATCAGTTAAAATTATATGAATATCACAGATTAAGCTAATAAAGCTTTTATTGTTTTAATTATTTTTGATTTAATATAATCTTTTTAATTTACTTTTCTAAAATTAATCTAATATTTATTGTTTTAAATTTGCATACAACCTATTTTAATATCAAAATTCTATCGCATATTTATTTCACAAAACAAAATAGTATATAAAAAAATGTTGTTGATATGTAATGAAAGAATGAGTAAATAAATTAACATGCAAAAAATAAATAATTTTAAAGCAATTCATATATTTTTCCAAATTATAGCATTAATATTTGGAAATAATTGTAAAAAATAAAATTTTAAGTTAAATAAAATAATATCAAATTATTGTAAAGCCTCATTGATTGCTATCTTGTTATTTATAAAAGATCAAAATAAAAAATAAATTATACTGTAGATAAAATAAAATAAATTTAAATTTTTAAGATAGGGGTGAAAAATAGATGGTTTTGATTATAAAAAAACTATTAAAAAATCCGAATGTATTAAAAAGTACCCTAACCTGCTTTAGATAATAAGTGACTGATGAAGAGGTGTTATTGTCTCAATTACTTGCTTATTAAAACTTAAAAAATTGGATTGAAAGAATTTTTTAAAAATCTAAATACTTTTTTTCACCTTATAAACTTACAGATTAGATTAGATTAATGATTAATCATCATAGATTTAACAACTAACTTTTAAAAAATGAAATTCTTATGATTAATTGTTAATTAATAATATAAAATGTTGGTAAAATAAAACACACAAAATAATAATGATATAAAATTAATATTTGATTTCAGAATTATTTAAAATAAGTTTTAAGTTACTTATGATTTTATTATCATATAAACACAAAAACTATTTAAAGCACTAAATTTTTATGGAGAATGATAAATAAATGTTTTAGAAATTCAAACTAAGTTAAAGTAAATCAAACAGATATTAAAAAATGTTAGGTAGGGTATATAAATATTTATAATAGAAAGGAAATACGGATAGAGTAAGTAAGTGAATGAATAGAACATTTAATAGTAATATTTGGTTATTGTTAATTTATTTTATATGATATTAATATTAGTTAATTGTTATCAATTAATCAGTCAGTCTGTCTGCCAGTCAATTGTAATGATAAAATACTATCTTTAACAAGTATTTTAGTTTAATTTATACTCAAATACGAGTTGATTCGTACATTTCGTACATTTCAAACTATTTAACTTTGATAAATGAATCTTATTCTCTTTAGTTTTTCTTTTTAGGAGAGGGAGAAGGTGAGGGAAGCTTTGAGTGGGCTTCTTCAATTTCGTTAATAAAGTATTATTGTAGCTTAGTTCTATATTTTTCAAGAGTAGGGTGAGAAACTGATTCTAATTATAAGATGTGGCTTCTTGCTAGGCTCAGTAACCCGTTTTTATTTTGGAGGAATAGCTTCTGATCAGAGAAGGTGGTGTCTAAGTGGGTTTTGACTAATTTAGCAAGATCAGCTATATAGGTTGAGGTAGCAGAATTGCTTTCTAAAGTTGTGAGAAGTCTGTTTAAACCAGAAATTGCGTAAGACTAGATACCATTTTCATACTTCTTGATATTAGAGAACAAGAAATCAACAAAGATAGCTCTGTATAATTCATCTAAACATTTTTCAGTTTATAAATTAGCAATTTTTATTTCTTGTATTTAACCAGATTTAACACAATTTTTGCTTGGTAGACTGACGGTAACAGTTACCTAAGCGACAGCATCAATACCAGTAGTGGTAGTGTTGAGAGGTTCGGAGAGTTTCAAAATTATGTTTCTTGTCTATCCGTATTGAATTGGACCTGCACTAATATCTATGGAGTTATTTTCTTTGTTAATAGTGCTAGGCATCAATTAGCAGACTGGATTAACTGATGCAAATGTTAAGTTATTCAAAAGTTCTACTCTGAGGAGAATGTTTGTGCTGAAAGAAGTTATCAAATTAGCAAATACATTTGAGAGTATTTTGTTAGGCTAAGAAAAGTCATCTAAATAAACGAATTAGCCAGTGAACTCTTTAGCCAAATCAAGGAGGAGATAGCTATCAACATTCTCGGAAATACCACATATATTAATTGAGACTTAATCGAGAACAGTATTCTTTTACACAAGCTCTCTAAGTGAGTTGATGATATTTTGTGACTCAAGGGGGTTCTTCTCTTTTTTTGATTGTCTTACATCGCTAATTAAAATAACAACAGGAGATTGGTTTTGTTTGCTATTGTTTATTGAACTAGACAAAAGACCAAATGCTCTCTAAAGGCTTTCAAGGGTATTGTTGTTTTCGCTTTAAATTTTAATGGAGTGCAGGAATTCCTTAGCTAATTTTTTGTTATCCTCATCCATTTCCTTTGGGCAGAAAACGCTTTCGCTAACCTAATTAGGCTCGCTGCTAAGGAAAGTATTGAGTTGAACAATAGAAACAGTGTCTTATTCAGATAATGGTGTTAAAAGTGGTTACAATGCATTTGTGAGCACTTCTTCAAAGGAAAACTAGAATTCAGGAGCAAACTTTTCAATATCTTGAATAAATTTCTTTGAAACATCGACAACAATACATAAATTCAATGGAGTTCTCTTCTAATAATCGGGAGATGTTAAAGAAAGCTTCAAGTAGCTTCCGTCAATCAAGGTGGATTGTAAATTAACAAGAGGGTTCATTTGTTTTCTTCAATTTTGTTTATTTGTTTTATTTTTATCTGTGTTCTTGCTTAATGCTGATTTCAATGAAAATCTATGTGCTTTCTTTGCTGCTTTACAAAGGTGCTTTATTTATTTTTTTTTTGTTTATTTGGTTTTTTATCAGAAAGTTGATTTATTGATTTGTTTATAGATACAATATTTTATATTAAAATTATTGGCAAAAAATATCTTGCTTTTGAATAAACAAATTGAGAGTCTCAAATGCTTTTTTTTATCTAGTATTTAGTATAATCATTCATCATAATAATTGATTTATGTGTTTATAATTATGTATTTTGATTTCTTTTAAATTCTTCTAATTACTAATTGAAATGATAATTCTTTTATTCTTAAACATACTTTGAGAAACCAACAAATCTTTTTACAAACACCATTCCTCTCACATTAAAAACCAATTAATTTTTTTTAGGAAAATAAATATATGCCTTAATCAAACAAACAAAATCTTAGAATCAATATTCACACTCATATCTAATAAAAGTCATGATGAATAAACTATATTTTTAAATTTTTTTATTAACAAATTTATTGTATACGAATGAAAGAATATTTTGCCCTTCAATATATAAAGATTGATAAATTGATTAAAGGGGATATTGATTGCAAAATAAAGGTAATTAATTACTCTCTTTTTTGAATTTATTTACATGCACTCTAATTTTGATTACTTTAATCAAAATTTAGTCCTATCATTAGCGATCAGAAATAATTTGATTTATTATTAATAAAACACTTTTTCTCAATTTAAACCTTTCAGACATAATTCAATTGTTTATTTTGTTTTTAATTTTTTCTATATGTTAGTTGGTTGGCAGGCATACATGCAGGTAGACGATACAACTAAATTTAAAAAGTATACAAACATTTTTATTTTTGACCTTAAAGCAACTTCAATTATTTAAAACTTCAGTAAATTTAAAATTACTCTACTGCTATATATTCAAGTCAGTAATAAAATATGATTAATTAGTATCAATACTGGTTTTTAAATTTAATCTTATATCAATTAATGAACACATTTTTTTAGCGTTGGACATAAGGTTTAATTATCTAAAAAGTTATTAGTTTAATTTTGATAGAAAAGTATTTTGATGCATACTTGCAACAAATGGAGTCAAAACAGCAACACCATATAACGCATAATAGTAAAAGTAAGTAAAATAACTCAAATTATGTAACGATAATAAGTTTATCTATAGAATAATAATCAATAGGTTGATAAATACATCAATAAATATTTTGAACTTGGAAGCTTAAATAAAAAAGATTAGTTAGCAATAGAAAAGTTTTTTATATAATATTCAAAAATCTAGAAAAAATAAGAAATATTTGACAAATTATTAATAATAATTGCAAAATTTTCTGATCAAATCTTACTGATTATATTTCAGCCAATTATCCTTTCTAAATTACTAAATGAAGAAATATTCCCTCCTTTTTATATAAAATCACTAAATTCAATTAAAAAGGTCATTATAAAAGTAAACATAAACAAAATATAATTGTACTGAAGTTAATATTTATGTCTACATAACCAGCTATTTAGTTTGTTAATAACCCTATTTTTAAATTACTGTACTAATTTATTAAAGTTTAACAAAGTTTATTAACCAGTTTGTAAATATATCATCACCCTTTTTGTATATTTAGCTTCGCTAAGTCTCTATTTCAATATACAATCTAAAAATAGCTAACGCTTAATTAAAAACCTTCTAAAATTTTATGAAATACTTCTAGTGGGAAGCATCTAAAGCAGCTTTGATTATTAATAATTTCCTAAGATTTAATTTAATTGCGTTTGACAACAAATCCCCACTCTATTTAGTAAATTCACAATTCAATAAAGTAATAATAATAAGATTAGATTAGATTAGCCAATCAACTCATAAATCATTATTGAATAAATCAGTCTTAAGTAAAAACAACAAATAATCAAGCAAACAAAACTAATTATTTTTAATGGTATGTTGCTAACACTTTAATTTGCGATATTTGCAAATAAAAACATTTACTAGTATATACATCATGTATAATTCTAAAATTAAAAAAAATCACCCACCGAGGGGCTCGAACCCTCGACCACCAGCTTAAAAGGCTGGCGCTCTACCGACTGAGCTAGACGGGTTTAGTGATAAAGAATATAATAAATCCGTAGAAGTAATTAGTTTAATTGAATTATAATAATTTATAATTGTTTCTCTTATTTTTTATCTTAATGAATCAATATTAAGACTTTTCTATTAAAAATTTGCGTATTTATCAAAGCTAATTAAATAAAAATAATTAAATATTTTTGAACGATTGTAAGTAAGTAAGTGTTTATAAATTTAAAAAACAATCAATTTTATTTTATACATTAATTAGAAAAAAAAAATTAGTTCTTTCGTAGATTTATATTTTTTATTTATTTATCTATTCACTATTCACTTGAGAAAACTACATAAAAACTCTTTTTTAATTACTTTGTTTATCAAACAGAATATTTTATGTAAATATTAGTAAGTAAAAGTTGTCTATTCAATTTATTAAACATTTAAAAGACCTAAATATTGTAAATAAGATAGCACAACTATCAAATTTCTATTTAAGTTTTACCTTATTTTATTCTTTCATTAAAAACCAAAGATAATTAATTACTAAATAAATATTTCTTTTCTTCTTAAAAAAGTTCTTTTGATAGAATATTTTGTAAAAGTAGTTTGAATACTTTAATTATAAATTTGATTTAATTTTATTAAATTCATTATTGTTAATGTATTAATATACACAATTTATTATTAGTTATTAAATATTATTAATTCAAAATAAATATGCCAGTTTTGTATTTACTTATTTCTTTTAGTATGTAATTGCAAAATATATATTTTAAATAATAAAAACATATTATCATTAATTAGAAAATAATTGCATGAATACATTAGATTTATAAAATACTCCATTTTTAACACTAAATTTTATATTTATTTATTTATTATATATTATATAGTTAGTATTACAAATAGCTCAGTATAATCCTTCTAAAATTTTAATTTTTCTCATCTTAAAAATTATTAAAAAATGTAAAAAAATTTAAAAATAAAATTTGAGAATCATAAAATAATAATGATAATTTTAAATTGATTTAGTACTTTGGCAGATTAAATTTAGTATAATTAATATATTTTATCACATTAAATGCTATATAAAAAAGTGAATGTAGATTAATCAAAAATATAAAATTATCAGCTTAAATTAATTAATTGCACGCTTTTTGATTTTATGGTGAGCTCATTTCAGGACATAAATATTTAATTCTTTTTATTCAAAAAAAATTGTATAAAAAATGATAAACAAAATATTTAAATAAGGTGATAAATCTACTGTAAAACTGTTCTTTCTTTTTAAAAATATATTCATTTAAAAGCTCTTTATTCAAATATATAAAAAAATCACCCACCGAGGGGCTCGAACCCTCGACCACCAGCTTAAAAGGCTGGCGCTCTACCGACTGAGCTAGACGGGTTTAGATATAATCATTAAAGAATTCATCTATAAATAGATCCTTTCTAAATCTCCTCTTGTTGACTAATTTAATTGCAATTTCTTTATAAATTTTATGATTCACTATTTATTAATAATTTATTTTTTTGATGTTTGCAGATAATGATTTCTCCATAATTTTAATTAATTTAAACAAATAAATATAGATCACATTAAATAAATTAAAAATATAATTAATTGTGTCTATCTACTTTTTTAAACAACTTTTTCTAATATTATTTCAAAAGTAATCTTCTTATGAGGATTATTATTAATTTCCAATTTTACTTTATAATAAAATTTAATTTTTAAATAATTTTAAAATGAAATCTACAAACAAAATTCATCATTTGAAATATAAAAAATTAGTTTAAATATATTTTAATATTTCATTATGAAATTGATTGAAGTTTGATTTAGAAAAACTCGAAGAAAATTATTATACATAAAATATTTATGAATATTAGTTTTATTTTTAATATACTCAAAACTTTGTATTGCGAGTTATTGGATAGCAACACATATTAAAAGATTCTTTTATTATTATAGGTTTAGTATTCCATACAAAATTAGAATGCTTAAGAAATCTATCGATATTAGGGATTTCAATAAAAATAGTATTTAAGTAGTAAAATTCTGATAATGTTTTGCAAAATGCTTCAAAGTCTTACTCTGATTTAATAATTATCAAGTTTGATGAAAGATTTAGTGAGTTTATACTATATTTGAGTGGTAAAAGAGAAGTAAGAGAGCGTATTGAGCACTGATCTAAGATAAATGTATACAGATTCGGAAACAATTAACTTATACAGGATATTGATTCATCATTAAATGTTTAGTTAAAAGAAATATCTAAATAAGTTAATTTCTCATGCTTCTCGTTATAGTTTTCTGTTTTTGCAAACTACATAATTACATGAAATAATTAATTTGAAAAGTTTGCATCTACTCTATCCATCTTTCTTAAGCATAAAGATTATATATTCCTATTGTATATGTAAAAAAATAAATTCATTAATTTAAGTATGCAGGTTTAATCTTTATTAATAACGAACTAAAAAATTTAAATTATAAATAGATATTTTCGTAGATAAAAATAAATATTTCCTAAAATGTGATCAAAATTATTAAAAAGAAATATGAGAAATTATGAAATATTATTTGATTTATGAATAAAAAAATTATAATAAATTAAGTACCTGCAGTAACGTAGAAGAAAAGCAATATGAGTATTATCTATTTTATTTCCTTCAAGGATTACACTTTTTAAGGTTTTGTAATTATTATTAACTAAGGGAACAAGTGCCTTTTTGGTAAAACATTTAATTTATTTGAAAGAAACATATTCCAATTATGTCTAGCTATTACAAAAAGTAATAATTTCCTCTTTTGTTATTCTTTTACAATAATTAATAGATATTCTCTTTAATTGAGCTGTTTATGATTATGCTATTGTTTCTAAAGCTCCCTCGAGTTAAGTATAATCCATGCATAATTCTTGAAGTTATGAGCAATTTTTAGATATAAGTGAACTCAATATTTCTTTATTAATTCCATTACAGCTTGCTAACCCTAATGATGTCAAGTTATTATAAATTTATTCCATATGAAGAAAAGCAAAAATAGGAATTTGTTGTCTTGTCTTGTAACAATTTATGCTTAACTGAGAGAGGTTATTAAAGTGCTCTATGAACTAAACAAAGATTTTTTCTGAAAAAGACTTTTCTCTTAGAGCTAAATTAGATTCGTTCTGGTAATCAACAATTTCTAAGCAAGACAAAGATTTTGGAATCAGTTTTATTAAGGTTTCTAAAGTGTGATCATTAATACCTAAAAACCGAATTGAGTTTCTAGTGCTCGATATCTTAAATTTTTATAACTTTTTAAATTTATTGAGAGTTTAATTCTGAAATAATTAGCTTTCTTTGTAACTTAATGTGTCCTCTATATCTGAAAAAATTTCATTGTTATTATATAATAAATTATTTAATTACAGGACTTATATTAAGGATTAGTTATTCGTGTTTGTATTGTTACCTTATACATTCATTATTTAATTCTGTTGTAAGTTTGCTATTTATTAATCTATTTACTAAATTTAATTTTGAATGTCGTTTGCTTATTCTTCAGACAATATGTAATCTTCATTTTGTTAGTTAAGTTATTACCTTTATTAGATTAATTATTAGATTTGCTATAAATTAGTTTAGTTATTTTAACTACCATTTTATTATGGCTAAGAAGGACTCATTTAAAATATAGAAGGTGAGGGAATCAAAGAGTTCAATTAACTAGCAATAGGAAGAGAATGATAGTTTTACTAAATTTATTGCTGATTATTATTATTATTATTTTAAATCTATAAAGAATACTAAGGGTTCAATAGGAAATTATTATTTTATTATTATTGATTTTAATTTTATTATTGCTGTACTAATTAGAGCAGTTAAAAAGGAATCAGCATATTTTGTATTTTCAATACTGTTAAATTTAAGGTTGGAGTGGTGAATATACTTTGAAGTAAAAGATTATAGTCATTTGTCAGGTCTAAAAATGTCTAAACTTCCTTCATAGATATTTTCTTTAAAACTTTAAAACAGCTCCAAAAGGAGTTTAGAAACTCTAATGTCACTGGTTTTTATTACAAAGAAGAAGAATTGCTTTTACATTAGATTAGGCTTAGTTGTTAATTTTAAGAAGTACTTTGGAATACTTCTTCTTGCTAAATTATATTATTATTAACTTACATATACACTTAAATTTGAATACTAACAAGCGACTTGCTTAATTTCAGTTTAAGAAGTCTATAAAATGATCTTTACTGTAGCCAATAACTTGGACACATTATTAATTTAACGCCTTCTATTCTACTATCAGGCAACGAATTAAATAGCTCTTTATAATCTAAACCCTAACAAAATATGCTAATTTTTTTTATGTTTTATCCATAATTTTAGAAAAAGACCTTATAGCCATCCATTTCAAATCTAAGAGTATCATTAACATGTAATTCTCTCAGATGAGTCCTAAAATAGCTTAAAATATCTTAATTAAGTTGCTTGTTTATGTAAAGCATTCTTTTCAGCTACTTAAAAGTTATAAATCCTAAAATGTATTTCCTGATATGATAATTTATTCTAAAAAAAATGCATGGGTTTTAAGAATCATAATCATGACTCTAGTCGATTTACTTCTAATTTTAATGAACTTAACTATTTTATATTTCTTATTATTACTTCAGCTAATCATTTTACTTATCTTAAATATAAGCCTGATGATCAATTTTTTTTTATAAAAACTACTTCTATCTATATTCAAAATCTTCCATAAATAGTTTTGAATATAAGAGTTTTTGGTTTTTGATCGTATTTATCTAAAAATATACTAATATATGCTCGAGTTAGTCTTCTTACACCAAATTTATTAACTAAAAAATAAATAAATAGATAAACATAAGGCATCTAGAATATATAATTATTAATATTTTTATAATATTTAGCATCTCTCTTAATTTATTTGCATTTTAATTGAATTTATAAAATATAAAATAATTTTCTTCAAAAGAATATGATGATTGATAAGAAAATATCCATTAATATAAATATATTAAGTTTTAAAATATATACATAAATTTATTCAGATTATCATTTCATAAAAAAATAAATGCTAACTCATAGCTAAACATAAATTGGAAATTTTAAGGCAATTGAGTGACTTGAAGATGCTATTTACTATTATATTTATATATATACAAAACAAATATCTAATTACTTATTTATTTATTAGTTAGTTAGTTACTTTATTATTTTAATCCATGACCATTATAATTTAAAATCTTATAAAAATTAAAATCACAACAATCAAATTTAGTCTGCAACTTTTTCTGCTACAGATTAAAGCTTAAATTAGAGGTTTATCTATTTATATAAAAAAAGTTTAGAATAAATATCTAAATAAATCTATGAAGGTATGAATGAATGTATGAAAAAAACTTACAGTATCATATTCAAGCTTTTCTAAAATTTAATAGTAAGAATTAAGACTCTCTTAAATTGTTTTTTTACTGTCTTGTGTTTATTCTTTTTAAGGATTTATTTCGTCAATAAGTTAATTAACATTTTTCTCTATTTGTGCAAGACCAAAGTCAATAGCTTAAATTTTTTCACCAATAGGCTATTTGAAGGCATTTGATTCAGAATCGCCCTAAAGCTCTAATTGCTTAATTAATTTAGATCTAATTATATCGAGATGGGATTCTATTTGAGTCTGTTTTTAAAAATAAAATCAATTTTCATTTTTAAAGTAAATTGTGCTTTTATAATACCTAATATTATTCGATATTCTTCACTTCTACATTAATTTAATCAAATTATCCATTTAATCCTTGGCTAATTTAAGCAAGATTTTCATACTATTTTATAGTTCAAAAAAATATTTTAGACAATAAAATTAGCTATTTCTTATTTTTTTCTCATTCTCAGAAAACATATATTTTAAATTAGATCCATCAAACAACTCAATCAGTCAGTCAGTCAGTCAATATAAACAGCTTAAATCAAAGATATTTTAATTTATTTTATTTTAGTTGATAATCCTATTCTCTTAAAGATAGAATAATTTTTTTATAGTGAGTTAGTTTGTTAGTTATTTAATTAGGTAGCTAGATAGATAGATAGCAGTCAAGTTAAATTATATAAAATATTTAAGATAAATCATCTGTTTATATAAACTGTCTACTGAGTGAAATAGCTGTATATGAATATTAATATGCGAAGGTGTAAAAGTATAAAATTTTACATATTTAGAGCATTGTTCTATTTAAGTTAAACTTTCTCCCAACGATGTATATATTTACAAAAGATTTTCTGATTAGCTTTAAATTTTTCTTTTCCATTTTTAAACTAAAGGATTAAGTTTCTCATTTGCTAATATTTTAAAATAAAAATTACTATTATTGTAATTACTCTACTTAATCGAAAATGAATTATTTACTAAGTGAGACATCAATATTGTTAGCTGGCTATTAAGCGTTGTTTTACTAACCGGGTTGGGCATTAGTACCTATATATTTATATTTATTTTATAATTATTTTAATAATCATTTGTCATATTTATTATTTCTTTCATTTATTGATCTATTTCTTAAACTTTAATTATTAATCTATTAATTAATTAATTAATACCACATTTTTTAATATTGGCTGTTTTTCTAATATAAATTATGATATTTGTAATAGTTTTTTACCTGTCACAGCTGTGGTGGTAGCTGCAGTAGTGCTAGGATTTCCTAAAAGTGTTCCTGTAGTAGTAGTAGCAGTAGTACCAGTAGCTCCTGGATTTAAAATGTTAGTTTTATTTCCAAAAATTCCTGTTTAGTTTCCTGCTGTACTAGGATTTTGATTATTTTAAGCGAAAAGTCCACCACCAACAGTAGGAGGATTAGTTGGATTTGTATTTGTAGGGGCTTATTAATTTTATCCAATAGTTAATCCTGTTCCGGTAGCTCCTCCATTAAATAAAGATGTTGATGGTGTATTAGTCTTATTTTAGAATATTCCTCCTCCAGCAGCAGCTCCAGTAGTTGCTCCTGTACCAATAGTTGGTTAATTTGCAGTTGCACCAGTAAAAAGACCACCGCCTTATCCACCTCCTAATACAGGATTGGTTGTTTTATTCTAAGCACCACCAAATAAGCCACCGCCATTTGCTTATCCTTGTTATTAATTGAACATTTGCTAAGAAAAATCTAAAAATGGTTATCTATTTATCTATGAATTGAAATTAGTTAGTTAGTTTATAAATTAATTAATTAATTTATTTATTTGTTAATACTTATTAATTATAAATATCTTAAAGCTAAATTCAAAAAGTAAATATTTTTTTATTATTAGAGACACTCGCTAAATAATATCTAAGTATTAATTAAAGAGGGTCAAATAAGAATATAAATAATGTTTAGTACTCATTAATTATCTATTTATTTAGCTTTAACCTTTTTTTTTGATAAATAAATAAACAAACAAACATATTTTTCATTCATTTTTCACTTAATATATATTACTTTGAGTGTTTGTTTGATAACATTATTATTTTTATTAACAAATAAAGAAGCATTCTATTTATTATATATATATTCATTCATTTATTTTGCTAAAATTAGTGTGTCTGAGTGTCTTCTCTTTTTAAAATATCCATGATTATTAATATTGTATCTTTATTAATTTATTATATTGTTTCATTTAACAATAATATTAAGAGTAATTTTTGAAATCATTATAAAATTTTTATTATTATTAAAATATTTTTTTCATTTTTTAACTGAAAAGAAAAAAAGAATTATTTTTTTTGAAAATTTAAAATAAATAATAAAAATTTTATCAATCACATTTCTTCACTATAATAATTACGAGCTACCAGATATGGTTTAAATAAATGTAAAATCTATAATATTTAATCTGGAACCATGTCAGACTTGGTACAATCTATAAATCTTAGCTTTTGATAATATTTTATGATAGAGGTTTTGCCTATTGGTTTTGAGAAATAATTTTAGATGTCAATAGAAGTATATGCTCGGTTATTTATGCAATCATTATTGTAATCGTCTTGATATTAATTATTTCTTTTTAATTCGCCATATTTTTAAACTTCAAAGTATTATTATAGTTCTTGAATAGCTGGAAATCCTCTAGCATCTAATGATTTAATTCCTATCAAGACGCAAGTTTATAGGTTAAAGCAATTAGAAAAAAGGTATCTGATTGATTCTGAAGTAACATTTTTCTGCCAAGCCAATTTTAAACATTCTAACTGAGTACTTTTAGACAAAATGCTTATCAAGCCTTCATCATCTAACTCATTACATTCTTTCAAATTCAAGTGGATCAATGATGTGCTTGCAAAATTTTGGAAGCAATTAAAATAACCTTCTTAGGTTACTTCGTTGGCTTTATAAAACTTTAATCTTTTTAATTGAGTGAATTATCTCAAATAATTAAAGACTTCATCTTAAAAATACTCACAGTAATTGAGTAATAGCGACTAAATTTTAGTTTTGTTTAACTCATTAAACAATTTGATAATCTAATCATCATCCATCTACTCAGTGTCGATAGCTAATTCTTCTAATGTATTTTTCCCTTTTCTAATGACTTCTAATATATTACTATACTCTATCAGGTATGGTCTTAAAAATAACTAAAATTAAAATATAATAATTAAATAAATTTAAATAAAAAATATTTTTAATATTTTTCAAATAAATATTTTTATTCAATTTATATGAATCTATTAACTGAATTTGAAAATAATTTATTAAATATTTAATTTTTCCTTTTTTAGGAGTTAATAATATTACTTTTTTTAAAGGAGGCAAAGTTTTCAAATACCTACCTGTGAAGGAATTATCACTACACATAATAGATAAAGAATCTAGTTTATTAAGTAATTAAAAGTGCTCTATAAACTAATCCATAGCGAAACAGCCATAAGTTGTAAACGATCTTAAATTAGGACAATTCTTGACAATCAAAAGACTAATGATGTTTGCTTATGATTCGTTAAGATTATAAATAGATAACTCAAGATCTTACAATGAATTAAAGTTTTTTGTTAGGATTTAATAAATATCTTAAAATGTCAAATGGCAGTTGGGATCATTAATGATTAACTATTCTACATCATAAATATTAATTTTTTCTATTATCCATCTAATATATAGTTTCTTATCTTAAATTTCATGTTCTTAAAAATCATATTTAATTCTACGCCACAAAAATGGCTTTTCTGTACACTTTTTCCACTCTTTGTTTATCAACTAAATTAATGCTATATCTTTAATTGTAAGAAACCTAAAAATATCCATTAAGATATCATCGCTTAAGTTTTAAATACTAAAATTTATTCTATTTTCCTGTTCCATTATTATTACAAATAAAGGATACTTACCTACCTATTTAGCTGCTTATGTACTTATTAATGTTTAGATTTAATATAAAAAATACGTATATCAATGTGATTTTGATCAGCAAATTTAAAATCTTTAATTAATACTTTCCTTTTCAACTTTTCTATATTAAGACTTAATCAGTCTTTTTTATTAAATAAAAGTTTTTTAATTTTAAACAAATAAAATAAATATAATCATGGTAGTAGTAGTAGTATTAATTTTATGTATTTTTTTTATAAATAGCTTAATTTTTGATTTTTATTTAATTCTCTATTAAATTTTATATTTTTTAAATTTTTATAGGGTTATCTATACGTGATTTTATTAAAAGCAAAAAGATATATTCTAGTTTTTATGTAGAATTTTTTTAATTACTAATTTTTTTTTTAAAGCTAAGCAATAGTATAGATTTCTTTAAATTAAATATTCCTTAGTATATCCAAAATGAAAAAGGCATGAAACTCTATATCTTTTAAATATATTCTTAATTTATTGCAAATGTTCTAATTTTATTTGAATTCTTTGATTTAAAAATTAATGTTTTTGAAGAATTTAGAATCTTCATAATATGTGTTAAAATTGATTTTTCGTTTAAAAAATAAGGATTAGTTAAATTTGTGCCTTAATATATGATTAATTATTTAATTTCTGATATTAAATTTTATACTTGATGTATTCTTATTTATACATAAAAAAGATATCCTATGAATAAACAAAAGAGTCTATTTAATTTATATAGAAATTTAGTCAATAGATTTTTGGATCTTGGTAGTTATTTAATTCTTTTATATTCTCTACTCAATTAAAAAAAATAAGATATAAACATTTTTTTATAAATCTTAATTAAATAAACAAAATAAAAATAAAAAAATTAAAACATAATTTATTTTTAATTTTAAATATCTGCAAAAATAAATAATAAACTTTAAACAAATGGATTAAGATTTGTTTTTAGAGAATTAGAATGGGATCATTAAAAAAATATTTATTATTGTAGGAATATTGACTTATTCTTTAGATTTGTCTAATATAGTATTTAGCTTTAAATCTTATTTATGTGGGTAAATCTCTTACTTTTACACATATTGGATTATATTTAGCTTAGATAAATTAATATTAATTGTTTTAGGATTTTTCTAGTAAAGTGTTTACACTTTTACTTTTTTAGTCATGGATATCTTAAATATTGGCTGGATCTACCCAATTTTTGCTAAAAAAATAAATGGTTTATCTATATTAGCTTTATATCTTAGATTTGGATTATTTAGGTCAATAGCTTAAAATTTCTGTTAATTCATCTTCTTTTTTTACCTAGAGTTGTTGGAAATGTAATCAATCCCAGTGAGTTATAGATACTTAGCATATTTTAATTACCTGTTCTAAATAACTTTAACAATTATTTTTATTTCAATTATGGTAACACTTGAAAATGAATAATTCTTTTTTCGTTGCTGTTTTAAAAGACGCATTTTAAGTGTGATAAAGTACTTTACTGCTATTTTTACTTACTTTTTAACATCAACATCTTTCTTTTACAATGATTTAGGATTAGCTTTTGTATTATGCAACTTGATTGTAATGGCTTTTTAGTTTTATACTGTTGATATTTTAAATAAAAATAAAGAAAATTTTAGTGGTATAAATTTATTTTTTAGCATTCTTTTCAACAAATGCTTGTTATAGCATACTTAATATTTCTATAAAATCTTTTAAACTGTTAATTTTATTGCCCAAATGAGTCGATTTGCTGCATTCATGACTTTTGTAGGAGTAAATATAACACTAATAGATTTCTTTAATAATCAATTTTTCAGCTTAAAGATATTTTCTGTGAATAATTTGCTAATAATTATTTGGAATACAATATATTTCTTGCTTTTTTCTTTTTCAATTATTGAGAGACAGCTTAGCCTAAAAGTAATTTTTTCTAAGGAAAATGAAAGTTTGAAAAGTGTTAATGAACAGCTATGTAAAATAGATTTGAAATTTATTACAGATTTAGAGTTGAACTTAAATGGTGGAAAATATTGTATATTATAAAATTAAATACAAAATAAAGATATAAAATGTGAAAGTAAATAATGTGAAGAGGTATGTGAATTTTATAAAATAATAAATACTATTTTAAAAAAAAATAAAATAAATGTTCATTTTTCTTCAATTATGATTAGCTATTGCTACTATTATAATAAAGAGTTTCTAACAAGCTAAGAAGACATTAGACCAGAAATTGTTAAAAAATTATATTTACATGGTAAACTTGTATCATCTATACTTATTGAGAGAATTATGAAAGGTTACATTTTTAATTAAACAAATGAAATATTGATTTCAAATCTCTATGAGGATTAGGAAAAAATGCTAATTTTTAATATTCAATCTTAAATTTTATCACTCAAAACTTTAGACAAAATATTTATAGAATATTCTTAAAACTATCTTCCACAAATAGCATATGATTTGTATGAAATATGATAATTAATAATTCAGTATTACTTATTATATATATATTGCTTATAACGGTATTTTTTAGTAATTTATTTGCTGTTTTCAAATTAAAAAAATTCTAAAGTTTGATTTTATTTTTTAAACCATTTATTTTTGTTTTGAAATTTAATAAACTAAGTTTAAAATATTAAATTTAATTTATGTTAAGTAAAAATAATTTAGGAATTTATTTTATTTTGATAATAATAATAATTATCTATTAAATCAAAAAACTATTATAAAAAATAAATAAATCAGGTATTTTAAAATAATAAATTTTATTTAAAAAAAAATAAAAAAAGGCTTGAATGGCTAAATTTAATAATTTTTTATTTATTAAATTAATCTACTTTATAGCTTATTCATGAATTAAATTCTTGCATTTCAGCGTTCACAAGAATTTAATTCATAGAAGTGCTATATTTATAAATATAAAAAAATAATAATAATAATAAATATATCAATCTATCTATATTTTAGGTTAAATTATCATATTATAAAAGTTTATAAAATAAAACATGCTATATTCAATTATTCAAATATTTTTATATTTCGTCATTCTTTTTTCCAAAGTATTTGTATCAAAAATAGTAATTTATATCAAAATGATTAAAGAAATCTATTTTTGAGACAACTAATCTTTTTGATTTGAAACACTTGCTTTTTACTATCAATTAAGATGCTTAATTGATTTCAATTTCACTTTTTATATAAATTAGTGTAAATTTGCATTAAATAGAATAAAATTTTTTAATTAAAATTTATATTTTAAATGAATAAATAAATAAATAAAAATTAGTATAAGAAAAAAGATAAATAAACCAAATAAAAAACTAATAAATAAAATAAAAGAGCAATATTTTTTTTAAGTTCATTTTTATATTTGATAATGTCGCAATTCAAAACAAATAAATTATTTTTACTTGAGTTCAAGTATCAAATATAAGAGATTAGTACACTTTTGTAAAGCAGAACCTAAGTCTAATGTACCAATTGGACCGATTTAATTCCACCTTTTTTAAATATTGATGGAATAAATAATAAATTCGCTAATTAGAAGGAAAAAGTGAAGAAAAAATATGAAATAATAAGAAATTATTTAATTAATAATAAAAGTTTAAGCTGATAATAAAAAATTTATTTTAATTAACAAATAAAGAAAAAAAACAGGCATATTACATTAGAAAAATAAATCAAATAAAAAGATAACAAATAAATTAAATGAGTCAGTTCTATAGTTTTAGATTTAATTTTTATTTTAAAAAATATCTCAATAAAAAACATAATTTTGTTTTTACTATAGGTTAAGTGTCAAATTTGTTAGATTAGTGCAGTTTACTAATGCAGGGCTTAAGCCTGAAATACCTTGATCACCAATAAAATTGGCACTTTTTTTATATTGAAGAATAATCAATTATTAAGTTTAAGGAAAAAAAGAAGAAAAAATATGAAATAATAAAAAATTAATTAATAAAAATAGTAAAAGATGAATATGAAAAAATTATTTAAATTAAAAAAAAAAACACAAGCATAATAAAAAGAAATAATAAATTAAATAAAGTAAAAGAGTTTTTTTATATTAAATTCATTTTTATATTAAAAACTATCACAATTCTCAAAAAATAAACTGCTTTTACTATAGATTAAGTATCAAATTTTAGAGATTAGTGCAATTAACTAAAGCAGAACCTAAGCATGATAAACCAATTGTACCAATTTTATTGTCTCTTTTTAAATAATAAAAAAAATATATTAATAATTACTGAGAAGGAAAAAATAAAGAAAAAATATAAAATAATAATAAAAGTAAGTTGAAAATTAAAAATAAGTTAAATTAACAAAGAAAGAAAGAAAAATACAAGCAGAATAAATAAGAAAAAACAAAATCAAATAAAAAATAAAAAAATAAACTAAAATAGTTTATTGTTTTAAATTCATTTTTATATTAAAAAATATCACAATCCAAAACAAATAAACTGTTCATACTCGAGATAAAGTGAAATATTTGATAGATTAGTGCACTTTCCCAAACCATAACCTAAGCCTAATATACCTTAATCACCAATTTAATTTTCTCTTTATAAATATTGAAGAAAAAAATATTATTGATTTTTAAGTAAGAGCGAAAAAATGAAGAAAAGTACGAAATTATAAGAAATGAATTAATTAATAATAAAATCAAATGAATATTTAAATTAAAAAATAAAGAAAAAAAACTGAATTAGAATAATAATAAAAAAAGAAAAATTGATCAAACAAAAGGCTAGTAAGCAATTAAAAGAATTATATTGTTTTGAATTCATTTTTATTAACAAAAATACCTCAATACAAAATAAAAAAATAATTTTTACCTAAGACCAAGAGTTAAATTTGATAGATTAGTGCAATTAGATAAACCAGAACCTAAGCTTGAAAGGCCTTAATCACCAATTTAATTTTCACTTTTTAAATATGGAAAAAAGAATAATTAATTTGTTAGTTAGTTAGTTAGAAGGAAAAAATTAAGAAAAGTATGAGATAATAAAAAAATTAATAAATAATAAAATAAAAGTTGAAAAAAAAGTAAAAAAAACATTTTAAGAAAAAAAAATAAATAAAATAAAAAGCTAATAAATAAATATATTAAAAGAGTAAGTTATATTGTTTTAACTTCATTTTTATAATTAAAATTAAACAAACTATAATAAATAACTATTTTTACCTAAGAGTAAGTGTCAAAATTGAGAGATTAGTGCATTTTCCTAATGCAGAACCTATATCTGATGCACCAAACGCACCAATTTAATTCGTACTTTTTAAAAATTGAAGAAAAAAAATATCATTAATTAGTTAGTTAGAAAAAAAATGAAGAAAAAGTATAAATTAATTAATAATAAAAGCAAAAGCGAAAATAAAAAAAATTAGATAAATTGACAAAGAAAGAAAAAAAACAAAAGCAGAATAAATAAGAAAAAGAAAAATAAATCAAATAAAAAGCTAATAAATAAATTAAGAGAATTATTTTTAAATTCATTATTATATTAATAAATAAATATCTTATCCAAAACAAATAAACTGCTTTTACAATAGATTAAGTGTCAAAGTTGATAGGTTAGTGCACTTTGATAAAGCAGAACCTAAATCTGATGAACCTTTATCACCAATTCTTTTGTAACTTTTTAAATATTGAAGAAACAATACAATTAATTTATGAATAAGAAAATAAAATTAAAAAAAACATTAATAATAATTTGAATAAATTAAATTTACCTCAGATTAATATGGAGAACCTAATATGATAAAGGTGAAGAATATATAAACTTTTTTATTAATAAAAATGAATTGAAAGAATATTGATAAGATAATAAATAATTACACTTTATAGATTATTAAAATATTTTTTCTATAATATCATTTATTTTTTTTTTCAATAATATTTAATAATATTTGAATAAAATTTATGGAAATTTATTTAGATAATTAATTAATTATAACTATATTTTAAAAATTAATTTACTATTTATTTAAACTTTAATAATCATCTAATATAAATTTATAAATTTATTTTTTTTTAAATTAAACTATAACTTGTAAAATTTAGTAAATAAATTTTGGATTTTATTTTTACTAAGTTATTGCTTGCTTCATAAATCTTTAATAACTATTTACTCTTGTTTAAGAAATTTGTATTTTGTTTTTTGTAATTAAATTTTGGATATTTCATCAAATACTGAGATATTCTCAATTTAAAAATTATTTAGAATATAAAATAGAAAGAAAGAATTCACAATTACAAATAATTTGCTTACAATTAATGTAATAAAAAATAGACTTAACTAGAATTATATAATAATTTAGTATTATATTAACAATAGTATAGCAAATGATAATATTCATAAGTATATATCTTTTATTACCAATTTCTACAGTTTAGTAAATTAATTCATTAACTCCTATCTTGATTCTTATTTGATTTAATTATCCCTTTAGTATTTTAATAACATATATTTTAACTATATCAATCAAGATTCTGTTTTTTAAGCAATTTTTTATAATAATTAATTAATTTTTTACCTTAACCAAATTGTTAGTTTTCTGAGGCTTTTGAAATTTGTTAATGCAGAGCATAAACCTTATACACCATTATCGCCAATAGAATTGAAACTTTTTTAATGTTGGAAAAAAAATATTTCAAACTCAAACACTTGAAAGTATTTTATTTACCCAATCATAAGAGTCAAATTTTTGAGATTATTGCAGTTTACCAAAGCGGAACCTATACCTGATATTCCTATATCGTTTATTTCATTGAAGCTTTTGATTTTTTGTTTATATTGACAATATAAAATATAATTTAAAAATTATTTTAGATATCTATTTAAGCGTTTATATTAAAAATGTATATAAATTAATGAAAAAAATATAAGTAATTAAAACCAATTTACGTGAGTTCTAAACTGAAATTTGAAAGATTTGTGCAGCTTTCCAAAGAAGAACATAATTCAAAAATGCCTTTTGATCCAATTTAATTAGAACTTTCAATTAAATTTTATATAAAATATTTTAAAGAATAAATATAAAATTATTAAATGGTAATGATAAAAATTGTATAATTTGTAGATAATAATTTAAAAAGGATCATCAATAATATAGAAGTACAAAAAAATATCCTCCAAAAATAAACACTACTAACTAATTTTACACAATATATAGGAAAAGCTAAAATTCAATATTTTTCCAATATCAAAATATTGGTTTCAAAGTTTTTAAATTTGAGAGTTTAGTACATTCTGCTAAACCAGAACATAAATTTGATGCTCCCTTAGACTATATTTTATTCGAACTTATTTATAAAATAGTTATTTGAATTAAAAGAATTTGAAAATATTTTATAAATGATTTATTTAATACAAACAAATTAAGAAATCTAACTCAAGTTAAGGATAAAAATAAAATTAAAAAAATCAATATTAAGAGCAAAAAAAAAATATTTACTAATTTTAAAACATAAAAATAGATTCGAAATTTTAAGATAAATTATATTTACTTTATATTGAGAATTACGTTTATCATGTTAGTTTTATTTAATAAAACAGAACATAGGCTTGTAGCACCATTTGCACAAATTTAATTGGAACTTATAATAAAATATAAGATATTAATTGTAAGAATAAAAATGAAATCATTTATATTAATTATCAGACTAACTAAGTAAAGGAAATAAATTAAAAAAGAAAAAGTTTTAACAAACACTATTAATAACATGAAATATTGTTAAAAATTATTTTTGAAGAAATAAAAAGAAATAAACAATTTAATGAATAGAATAAATCATGATTACTAAAGATCAAGTTCCAAGTTTGAGATACTTTTACAGCCAGCTAAAACAGAACATAATCCTAGTACACCATTTGAACCAATTTAATTGGAACTTATATTAAATTTAATTAAAATTATTTTAAATTTTAAATTACTTACTATTAATGATTAAAACTAAAAGCAAAAAGTAAAACAAGTTAAAAAAATAAATATTGCTTATATTTCTAACATTCAAAGCTAACTTAAATAAATACTTCAAAAATAAACTATTTCTACCTTAAGTAGAGAAAAAGACTTGAAAGATTTGCGCATTATATGAAAGCAGATGCTAATTTTTATACTCCAGCGTCTTTAATCTTATTTACTCTATTAAAAATTTGATTAGTAATAATTTAATATTTTTGTTCCAAATTAATTTTTAAAAATGCTACATTTAACTTTTTTAAGATTTTTTTTTATTTCTTTATGAATTTATTTTAGGTTAAATTTATTTTTATTTAATTATTTTAGTTAATAGTAAAATATTTATTCAAAAAACAAAAGCTACTTGCTCTTATATTTTTTTTTACTTCATTATTAAAAATTTATAAAGTAAAATATGACAAATTGTTCTAATTCTTACCTTAGATCAAGTGTCAATTTTTATAGATTAGTGCAGTTTATTAAGGCAGATGATAAACTTTAGGTTCCTAAATCTCCTATTTCTTTGAATCTTTTACATTTATATTAACATTTGTTAAACAAAATAAAAAAATGAAATGATAAAATTTCAAAAGAAAAATAAAAGACTTTTAAATAAAAGTATAATTTTAAAAGCAATTTTTAAACTTAATTAAAAAAAAACAGTTATTACTTCAGATTTATCTCGATTTCAGTGTGAAGCGATAAAAATGATTTTAAAACCTTTTTAAATTAAAAAATGATTGCTGACGTCATAATTCAAAGTTATTTGTTGTTTACATCTTACAGCTTGTTAAACTATATTTTCTCTTATATCATTTTTTTCTTAGTATTTTTTTATAATTTTTTTCAAAAGTTAATTTATTCTAAAGTTTTTAATTAAAAATTAAACTATAATAAACTCAATTTATAAATCAATTTGATTAATTAAATTATGTCGCTAATACTGTAATTGATTACTATCCCACTTCTAGCCATTATTCAAAAATGGAGTGAATATTGAAATTGACATATTAAAAATGTTTTAAATATTTTTTATATATTGTAATTAATATTTAACCTTTATTTATATTTAAAAAATATTCATTTCCACTAATAATACATCTAATTTCTGTATTAAGCTATTTATAAAATTGAGGGTTGACTATAATTTAATTATTATATTTAATTAAATTTAATTAAGTAAGTTATTTATTAATTTAAAACGATATATTTATAAATATAAAAAGAATAATAAATCTATCTTTATATCTATATTTTAGGATAAATTAACATATCACAAAATATTCTAAAAATTAAAATATTAATTCAATTAATTTAAAGTATTTTTATATCCTTTTTTCACAATTTTTTTATCAGAAATAGAAACATATTTTTTAGGTAACTAATCTTTTTAATTTAAGGCACTTGCTTCTAATTTTCAATTATTATGATAGACTGATTTCCTTACGACTTTTAATATAAATTAGTATATATTACTAAACAATATTTAATAGAATAATATTTTTAAATTAAAATTTATATTTTAAATTAAAAATTAAAAAAATATTAGAGGAATAATATAGAAAAAGAATAATTAATCAAATAAAAAGCCAATTAATTAATAAATAAAAAGAGTCATATTTATGTAGGCACTAAATGAATTTTTAAATTAAAAAATACTATTATTCAAAATAAATAAACTGTTTTTACTTGAGTTTAAGAAACAAATTTTAGAGATTAGTAAGCATTGCTAAATTAGAACCTAAGTCTGAAGCACCAAATGCACTAATTTCATTCCACCTTTTTAAAATATTGATTAGTTATTTAGTTAGTTAAAGGAAAAAAATGAGAAAAAAAAATGAAATAATAAGAAATTATTTAATAAAAAAAGCAAAAGTTTAAAATAAAAAAAGAGTTAAATTAACAAACAAACAAATAAATAAAAATGCAAATAGAATAAAAAATAAATATAATAAATAAATTAAAAAAGCTAGTTATATTGTTTTAAAATCATTTTTATATTAATAAATATCAAAATCCAACTTAAATAAACTGTTTTTACAATAGATCAAGTGTCAAGTTTTTGAGATTAGTGCAGTTTTTTAAATTAGAACTTAAGTTTGATGCACCTTTATCATTGATATTATTACCGCTTTTTAAATATTGAAGAAAAAAAATAATTAATTTTTGCTAAAATGAAAAAATAAAGAAAATATATGAAATAATAAGAAAATGAATACATGAAAAAAAAAGAGCAAAAATATTAGTTAAATTTGCAAACAAAGAATAAAAAAAAATAGGTTAAAAATTAATAAATACAACATTCTATAAAAAATAAACTATTTTTACTATAGATTGAGTGTCAAATTTGAAAGATTAATACACTTTGCTAAAGCAGAACCTAAGCCTAATGAACCAATTGAGCCAACTTTATTATCACTTTTTTAATATTGAAAAATGTATATAATTAAATATTTAGTTAGAAGCAAAAAATGAAGAATAAATTAATTAATGAGTAATATAAGCATAATCTGAAAATGAAAAAATTAATTAAAGTAACCAAAAAGAAATGAAAAAAATAAACACAACCAGAGTAAAAAAGAAAAAGTAAAATAAATAAAATAAAAAACTAATTAATTTTATTATTTTAAATTTATATTTATATTAAAAAATTTTCTTCTTCCAAAATAAATACACTTTTTTTACTCAAGAAAGAGTGTCAAATTTGAGAGATTAGTACACTTTACAAAAGCAGAACCTAAGTCTGATGCACCTTAATCACCAATTTAAGTTTCTCTTTTTAAATATTGTAAAAAAAATAATTAGTTAGTTAGTTATAAGGATAAAATATTAAAAAATCAAAATGGAATAAATTAGTAATAAAAACAAAAAAAGTTGTAAAAAAAATAATTTAAATTAATAAATAAAGAAAAAAAAAACCCTGACATAGCTAATTAATAAATTAAAAGTTAAATGTTGCTTTAAGATTATTTTTTTTTAATTGTAATCCAAGCTGATTTTACCTAAGAATAAGTTTCAAATTTGAGAGATTAGTGAACTTTGCTATCGCAGAACTTAACCTTGATGCTCCTGAATCACAAATTTAATTCTACCTTTTTACGTATTTATAAAAAAATTAATTAAAATGTTTGTTAGAGGGAAAAAATGAAAAAAATATTAAATGAATTAATTAATTAAAAGCAAAAGCTGGTAATGAAAAATTTAGTTAAATTAGCTTTGAAAACAAAAAAAAAACATAAGAAAAATCAAAATAAATAAAAAAAATCTAATAAATAAATAGATTAAAAAATTTTTATTGTTTTAAATATATTTTTATATTAAAAAATATGACAATCTAAAACAAAGAAAATGTTTTTACCTAAGACTCAGTGTCAATTTTGAAATAGTAGCACATTTTGCTAAAGCAGAAGCTAAGCCTGATGAACCTTTATCACCAATTTAATTTTACCTTTTTTTTATTGAAGAAAATAACATAATTAATTTGCTAGAAACAAAAAATGAAGAAAAATATAATATTATAAGAAATTAATTAATTAACAATAAAAGCAAAACTTGAGAAAAAAAAATTAGTTTAATTGGTAAAAAAAGAAAAAAAACATAAACAGAATAAATTTAAAGAGTTAGTTTGATTTTTTATATATAAATATCACAATACTAAACAAATAAATTGCTTTACCCAAGATATAATTACAAACTTGAGAGATTATTGCACTTTGATAAAGCAGAACCTAAACCTGATGCACCTTAATCGCCAATTTAATTTTCCCTTTTTAAATTTTAAAGAAAAAAATATTATTAATTATTTAGTTATTGAAAATGGGAAAATTAGTTAAATTACAAAGAAACAAACAAAAAAACACAAGCAGAATAAAAAAAAGAAAAATAAGTTAACTAAAAAGATAATAAATAAATAAATTAATTAATTAAGATAGTTTTTTAAATTGTTTTAAATTTATTTCATATTAAAAAATATCACTATCCAAAACAAACAAACTGTTTTTACGAAAGATTAAGTGTCAAATTTGATAGTTTAGTGCACTTTGCCAAACTAGAACCTAAGCCTGACACACCAATTGCACCAACTTTATTTCTGCTTTTTAAATTTTTAACAATAATTAGTTAGTTAGTTAGTTAGTTAGTTAGAAGGAAAAAATGAATAAAAAAAATGAAAAAATAACAAATTTAATTAATAATAAATGCAAAAGTTGAAAATGAAAAAATTAGCTAAATTAGCAAATAAATAAAAAACACACACAAGCAAAATAAATAGGAAAAAAAAAATAGACCAAATAAAAAGTTAATAAATATAATAAATAAATTAAATGAGTTAGTAATATCGTTCTAAACTCATTTTTATATTAAAAAATATCACAATCGAAAACAAATAAATTTTACTCAATATAAATTTCTAAATTTGAAAGATTAGAACACTTTGCTAAAGAAGAACCTAAGCCTAAAATACCTTAATCACTAATTTTATTCGTACTTTTTAAATATTGAAAATGAAAAATTAATTAGTTAAATTAACAAACAAACAAAAAACAAAAGCAAAAAAAAAAAGAAAGAAAAATAAATCAAATAAATATTAATTAAAAGTTTTAAATTCAATATAAGAGGAA